TCTAGTGCAGAAAAATTGTGACGCCGCAGCAGGGATGCGTAATTCATTCCACGATCCGGGTATGATCCGTCCAGGCGTAGAGACAAATATTTGAGAAATCTCCTCTGAATTCTCTCCAATATAAGTCTATGACACACATAATGTGGCGACCAAATTACACAGCCATATTCCAATTTGGACAATACAAAGGTCGAAAATAGGGTCTTGTACACACCGATATCAGAAAAAGCACGCGAGGTGCGCAAAACGAAACCAAGCATCCTCGCTGCAGAAGATGCAACATTTTCGATGTGAGGTACAAAAGACAATTTGCGGTCAAAAGTTACTCCCAGATCCTTGATTGTAGATAGTTTCTCAAGAAGAACACCTTCTATATAATAAGAAGATGGAAGAGGAGACAGCTTGCGTGTAAAACTAACTGCACCGCACTTATTGGCATTAATCTTTAGCTGATAACGGTTACACCATTCCACCAAGACGTCCAAATCCGACTGAAGACTGACAACATCACGGTCCGCAAAAATAGGTCGGAATAGTTTCAGATCATCCGCATAAGCTAGTACGCTTGATGAAAATTTGTCTAGAAGGTCATTCAAGAAGATAACAAATAGTAGGGGGCCTAGATTTGAGCCCTGAGGAACACCAGACCTAGCCGTAAACTCCATAGACGCATAACCGTTGTAGTACACATAATTTATACGACCCGATAGGTAAGAGGCAAATAGTTTCATAAACTTAGGAGATAAGCCAAAAGCACTAAGTTTATACAAGAGGACGTCATGATGAATCATGTCGAATGCTTTAGAAAAATCAGTGTATACCACATCTACCTGACCGCCCCTATCCAAAGATTCACAAATTACCTCAGTAACCACCGCGAGGTTGGTAATGGTCGAACGACGCTTGATAAACCCATGCTGATATGGTGACACAAATGACTGAACCTTGAAATAGCTTGTGATTTCGTTGGGTTCAGCACAAGACAGTGTCGTTTTGTGTATTTAAGCAAAGCCTCCAAAGTAGAATTGATACCACTCTCAGCACCTTCTATCTTGTGGATAGAAGGATCTGTATATCTGAGTGTCGTCGGCGTACTGGTGGTAGTTGCATCCCAGAACATGGTTTGGTAGGTCATAGGTATATAAAGCGAACAGAATTGGTGATAGGATAGCACCCTGGGGAACTCCATACGTGACATCCAGAGAATCCGAATGGACACGATCAACAACAACTCGTTGTCTGCGGTTGGCCAAATATGAGCAAATCAGCAATCACGCAAGTCAGCGCAGTGGCATCCATATCCCGGTCTAAAACCTGACTGATAACGAGGCAACAAGTTAAAAGTGTTAATATGGCGACGGAGCTGAGTCTCCAACAATTTCTCAAATATCTTCGCTAAAGTAGGTAGAATGCTGATCGGTCTCAAATCCTTTACATAATAATAATAATAATAATAATATTTATTGATCACAATGTACTACACTTCAGAATAAACAACTAAAAATGGTTTCCAATAAACAACTGATCAATCTTATGATGAGGTTCAATATATATTGTTCTTCCACCTCACCATAAAGTATATAAAGAGAAAAAGACAGTATAGCGTGTTATATATAAAAAAAAGAAAAAAGAATCGCGACAACGGTATAAAGCTATAAACAAAACAAGAGTTTTAACTACCAAGTTTTAACATATAATACTTAGGTGAATACTACCAAAGGCCACAACAAGTCGCTATCGATACCATGTCAGTACTCGAAAGGGTTCCCCAGAAATTAAGAACAAATTTAGGTAGAACAAAAAGATTACAAAAACATTCAAACGCAAAAGCAAGATCTGTGACTATTAAGAGATTTACAGGTATTGCGAACACTGCTGCCCAAACAGAAAATCAGCATAGCGCCTCCTGGCGGTGNCAGTGTCGTTTTGTGTATTTAAACAAAGCCTCCAAAGTAGAATTGATACCTCTCTCAGCACCTTCTATCTTGTGGATAGAAGGATCTGTATATCTGAGTGTCGTCGGCGTACTGGTGGTAGTTGCATCCCAGAAGATGGTTTGGTAGGTCATAGGTATATAAAGCGAACAGAATTGGTGATAGGATACCACCCTGGGGAACTCCACACGTGACATCCAGAGAATCCGAATGGACACGATCAACAACAACTCGCTGTCTGCGGTTGGCCAAATATGAGCAAATCAGCGCATGAATATCATCAATCACGCAAGTCAGCGCGGTGGCATCTATATCCCGGTCTAAAACCTGACTGGCAACAAGTTAAAAGTGTTAATATGGCGACGGAGGTGAGTCTCCAACAATTTCTCAAATATCTTCGCTAAAGTAGGTAGAATGCTGATCGGTCTCAAATCCTTTACATAATAATAATAATAATATTTATTGATCACAATGTACTACACTTCAGAATAAACAACTAAAAATGGTTTCCAATAAACAACTGATCAATCTTATGATGAGGTTCAATATATATTGTTCTTCCACCTCACCATAAAGTATATAAAGAGAAAAAGACAGTATAGCGTGTTATATATAAAAAAAAAAGAATCGCGACAACGGTATAAAGCTATAAACAAAACAAGAGTTTTAACTACCAAGTTTTAACATATAATACTTAGGTGAATACTACCAAAGGCCACAACAAGTCGCTATCGATACCATGTCAGTACTCGAAAGGGTTCCCCAGAAATTAAGAACAAATTTAGGTAGAACAAAAAGATTACAAAAACATTCAAACGCAAAAGCAAGATCTGTGACTATTAAGAGATTTACAGGTATTGCGAACACTGCTGCCCAAACAGAAAATCAGCATAGCACCTCATGCGCTATGCATCATGCGCTGGGTTTCTTTTCGGTATGGGTATCACAAGTGACTCCTTCTATGCTTCAGGAAAAGTACAAGTATCTATGTACGGATTAAAGACATGAGTAACATATTCAACGGCCGACGAGACATTTTGAGTTCAGTCCATCAGCACCCGTAGCAGTGCCCCTGATAGAAAAGAAGGCGCGAAGAATCTCAACCTCGGAAACGTGCTCGAAACGCATCCTCAATGATCGTGTCGTCCAGTAATTGAGGCTGAGGCAAGACGAACTCAGAGTTAAGAAGGTTCGGGTCTCTCAGAGCAGGAGGTAAAGTTGTATACTCCCTGTTTGAAATATTAAGTTTTTTGATTTCTGACCNATTACAAAAACATTCAAACGCAAAAGCAAGATCTGTGACTATTAAGAGATTTACAGGTATTGCGAACACTGCTGCCCAAACAGAAAATCAGCATAGCGCCTCATACGCTGGGTTTCTTTTCGGTATGGGTATCACAAGTGACTCCTTCTATACTTCAAGAAAAGTACAAGTATCTATGCACGCATTAAAGACATGAGTAACATATTCAACGGCCGACGGGAAAAATACATCCAGACATTTTGAGTTCAGTCCATCAGCACCCGTAGCAGTGCCCCTGATAGAAGAGAAGGCGCGAAGAATCTCAACTTCGGAAACGTGCTCGAAACGCATCCTCAATGATCGTGTCGTCCAGTAATTGAGGCTGAGGCAAGACGAACTCAGAGTTAAGAAGGTTCGGGTCTCTCAGAGCAGGAGGTAAAGTTGTATACTCCCTGTTTGAAATATTAAGTTTTTTGATTTCTGACCAAACACGCTTTTTGTTATTATGATGTCTGTCACACTGGTACTTAAAATAGGCCTTTTTTCTCTGCTGACAGCTCTGGTCGTTTCATTCCTTAGTGACTTATAGTACTCATGATGCGAAGCTCTTCCAGATCTCCGATAACGTTTCAAGGCCGCGTCTCTCAGTCTCATCATGCATTTAATATTATAAGTGATCCAAGGTGTGGGCGGTCGCTTGATCCAAGACGCAAAATATTAGAGTTGAAAAACCACAGTTTAGCATTTACATCGCACATGTCGTAAATCAGATGTCCCATGGCTGCCAGACTATTGCATTTTGAGTTTGATAGCTCTCCCGTCAGAACCTGGATAAAACCAACCCCCAATATTTACTTCTGTCAATCCATAATTCCGCCATCATTCATGATCATTTATAAACAGAACATCTTCTTCTTCCTTCTCCACTCTATTTGGTGCGCAAATTGTCGCTCCATCTTTTTCTTGGTCATCCTAGATTCGATTACCTAAAGGCAATTTATAGTGGTCCTTTTCACTAGTCTATCTTGTCCCATTCTTTCTATGTGTGTTATTTGTATTCTTAGGTTTTCTATTTATCTACTTGAAGTTATCTTTAATATGGTGATTTAGCTTCAATATAAGATTTGTTCAGTTCAATGAATGTGAATCATGCTATATTGGTTAACTCAATCATCAAAAGTTTTTCTTGATTTTATGTTATTGCCCCTATTGATCTTTCCTGTTTTGTTGTGCCACAGAGTGTGTGGATGATAGGGAAGTATTCAAAAAAATGTTTTTATAGGCAACTCATCTAACACGATACTATGTTGGTCATCTAACCAAATTTATTTTGTTAGTAACTTTTGGAATCATTAGAAAAAGTTAATTTGTAATCAAAAAAATATTTCAATATAAATCATTAATACATTTTTTTTTAATTTAATCATTAAAAACTAATGTTTTACGTTCAAATTTATTTTTAAAACATCAATTTGTTTTAAAACCTTAATAGAATCAAATTCTATTTAAATCAACTTCCACCCAAAAATAAACATTTCAATCACAAAGCTGAGTTCACGACCTTTTTATAATCGGTATCACGATAGCCTCTGCAATTTCGTATTCATATCCCTCGTGTTTATTAAACCAAAACCATGCCATCCAAAATGTTCATCTTCCTAAATTACTTTTTCTCTTCGGTTTTTTGTTCTTATTAAAATCAACAAAAATGAGTTTGTATAAAACTGCCATTCAAAATAATATGCATTTGATGAATGTTTATAGTAAGAAGAATATCATTTCAAGTTAAATTTTGTTCAATAATTAATAATTTTTTGTTGCAGATGAAATGTTGGAAACTGAAAGTAGAGGTGTTGCGGGTCGCGTTGCTGACCTAGAAAGACGTGTTCTTGAACAAGCAGATGAACTTGTATGCCTTAAAGCGACCCTCGCCGAGGTTTTGCGCCGCCTCAATGTTGTCGAGGGTATGCGTTTATCACAACCCATTTCTCAAATGCCAACAACTCCAATTAGAAATGGTAATGGGAAAGAACTTCGGTTAAGACCTCAAAGTTATACTGGACCACCAGCAAGGTAAAATTTGTACTTAAAATATTGTGTAATTTTAATTTTATTAATTTAGATTGCAAAATGAATCTCGTCAAAATCAACAAAATCGAACGTATGGTGGTTCGTCTTTGCCCCAACGAAGGGCTGTTCATTACCAATCAACTGGTTCTTTACATAGTGACAGTCAAAGTTCGAGTAGCGTTTCTCCAATTCCTTCGCCTTCACCGCGTGCTACACCACTGCCTTTAACAAGAAGGCCTCCGGTGATTACAAGTCCTCAAAACACTAATGGCACTTCAGCTTTACATAAGAGGTGGAGTTCTACTGGAGATTTTAATCAAGTTAATTCATTACCAAGTCCACAATCAAAGTAAGACTTTTTATTTATTTTTTTTTTATTTTTATTTTGTTTTCTTTTTTTTTTTTGTTCTTTTTAGATTTTCCAACAAATCATTTCTTAATCTTTTCACCAAAAACAATCAACCTTCGCCAAATGTTAAACATGGGTAGGTAATTTATTTATTTATTTTTAAAAAGGTGATTTATAGATTTAGCTTCCTTAAAAAGCACCTTTTGTGGGCGAAAAGTGTAATTCTTTTCGAAGGACCACTTGTCTTAAAAATAAACACATTACATCATTGTTATCATCTCCTGTTGAATCATTCAATATTAACAAAAATTGTTTTACAAGAAAAAAAACTTTTTTTTTCTTGTTATATGATTATTTATCATTTATCTCCCCTTATTTTTTTTATCAAATACCACAAATGATAAGCAAAAATAATACTTCATGATAAAAAAGTCTGAAATAACAAAACGTTATTGTAAATTATTATAAGTATACGAAATTTGTTTTTTTTTGTAATTAATAATCGTTTATTGTGCGCTCAATAAACGAATTACTTTGACCTATATGGTTATAAGTTAGTGTAGAAAACGAGAAACGAGCCAGTTTAACGCGAGCAGCCGATCCGCTCGTATCGAGCTAAAATTAAACCTTGAAAGTTCTGAGAAATCTGTAGTCGGGTTTTTTAAATAACAAAAAAATGGTTGGGTAAGTCCAAACTATTACAAATTAATTGTTAAAAAAATTGCTAAGTAAATGATTTTATCAATTTATAAATATTGTGAATTATGACATTGCACAATTTCCCTTAAAAAATTTCCTCATCATAAAACATGATGTAAAATAGAAAGTTAATGTTTAAAAATCTCGGTTATTAAAACTTTGGTTTATATTTTTATATAGGTATTTAGTTCTAAAAATAAAGATTGCTATTTTGTATAACAAAGTAAAATTGTTGAATGATGGTTTCCAGTTCGGTGGGTTTTAACAAAAAAAGAAACTCCTTTTTTTTATCTGTGAATAAGATTTATATAACAGGAGAGTTATTTATTGCGTTTTACTTTATTTTTGACATCTAACATCCTAAATACTTATGATATTCTGTGATATAGAGTGAAATTCACTTAAAATGCAATATACAAAAATATATTTTCATAGAAATCAGGGTGTATCTATTTACTTTGTCCCACATAAAATGCAACATGTCTGAATATTTCTAATTCTAATGTTAGTTCTAGTGATAGTGCTAGTACAGTATTAAAACTAACACTAGACCGAGAACTAAAAACATTCGGATTTAGCCACACGTCTTTCAAGACGGCTAAACCCGAATGATTCTAGTTCTAGGTCTTGTGTTAGTTCTATATATACCATTTCAAGTTCAAATTGGCACTAATCAGACTCAAAATGGCATTAAACAAAACCAATTTGGCGACTGTCATAATCAAATTGGCATTAATCAAAATCCTCAATCAAAATCCTTTGCAGCAAACGTAAAACGCCAAATTTGTGCCATTTACAATACGAATTGTATCTGGTGCACTTTAGCTGAAATTGTTGGCGTTGCAAAAAAAACAGTTGAGATGAGTAAAAAATCAAAAAGAAGAGAAGGAAAATTACAGATGAACATCACCGTTTTATTGAACTTAAAGTTGAAGAAAATCCTAGAATCACAGTTAAGTAGGTGCAAGAAACACCGAAATGAGTTTCAGATTAATGTAAGCAAGAAGTGTATTCGACTACACCTTGATGGCCTCATTTTGCATTAAAACAAATACGTTTTGAACCGGAAAGAACCAACACAGTCGAAGTGAATACAAAAACATCTGAATACATAAGAAATTTGTTTGAGCTTTAAAGTGAAATGTTCAGTGGCTTTAGTCATTGATAATGCTCCTTGTCATTGTGGTGTTGAAGAACAAAAATTTTTTCATCAGAAACTTGTAATGTTAAGTCCTTATAGTATTTTGGAGGGAAATGACCAAGAAAATTTGTCTCAAACAGAGTACAGAATTCGAAAATTAATATTTAAATTTCCACAAGTATTTCGCTGACAATCTCCTGTTCGTCCATTTCAAATATTATACACTTTTTTTATAAAAATCTGTTCGTTGCGACCACGATTTATACACTTTTCTGACCTGCACTAAGTTGACATGACATTGCACTGACTTACACTTCATTGCACTATGACGTCATACGAGTGCCATGTCGTGCAGAGTCGTGCAGTCCCAACGAACAAAGCTATAGTGTAAAACTAGAACTAACACTATACCTAGAACTAGAAAATATTGGGTTAACCTTACATAAAGATGTCACCTTTTTCCAAGCAAAACTTTCCCTTTGCAAAATTACCCAATGCCTGTACTATTAAGATATGTTGCATTTTATGTGGGATAGTGCAAGTGAATAGTAGTTTCGTAACTATGGCCATTCAAGGGCACTTTAAGTCCAAAATATCAACAAAGTTAAGTCAATTCAAATATATAAATTTGCTTGCTCCATTCTACAATAAACTATCAATAACGGTTATTGTTACAAATATGCAGCAGATTTCAATTCTCATGATATGCTTAACTTGTCTAAGCGTTGAATCTTAACATTTTACTGTAAGTCATGTCGGAATATTCCTGCATTGACCTAGGGGTAGAGGTTTTTTGCAAGCCATTATTATTACAACTGATATTCAGGATAGATTCATCGGCCAGTCCAAATATCATGAACAATACTTAGAGCCGAGATTATTAAAATAAAAAATTATTTATGGCACCCCATGGTCGTTCTTAGTATTGTTCGTGTAATAGTTTTTTTATCACTCGGGATTCGGAGCGCGAACCCAAGTCTACCCTGCTTGAAGTTTATGGAAGAAATAATCTCAATCGACTTTGAAAACGTCAGATAGATACGCGAATAATCCACCACAATGCAAATCAAGCTGTAATCTAGAGAATAATCGAAGAGCAGATCTCAAATATTACATCTACAAACTGGTCCAAATCACTTACAAAGAAAATTAACATCTTCATTATTCAAATATTAACATTCCAAAAGTGCGACGTTCACAAACGCAGAAGTATTTGAAAACAATTCAGAAACTATCCTTTAAAGCAATATTTCTGTCAATGTTTATTGGAGCTTGTATGGCAGTACAAAAATACATCAATTTTTCATCAATTAGTTTCTCGCTTCTCTTGTTTGCAATTATTACATTTCTAGCGAGCTTGATTCTATTTCCAAAAGCAAACTGGGAGTTAAAAAAGCAGAATCCCGGTTTGACTTCTTCAGCATGATAATGTTTGCGCTCCCTATTTGCATCTTGTTACGTTTGACGCCTTTGAGCCCACTTTTGCCACCTCCCAATAAATTTATTCCATGAATAAAACCTCTTAATGAGAGTGCTTAAAACCGCCGTAACCATCCCCTAGATAGTTTAGCAGAAGGATGAATCTTTGTATTTCATCATAGGTCTATTTTTAACGCCGCCTTTTCTCCTCAGAAGTCATGAACTGTATGGTTAATGGTTCGATGAATCTGTATCATTATATTCTGAATGACATAGATTTTCTGACTATCTTTTATGCACTCGAGTGTTTTTAACATGTTATTTTTTTTTCTCTTATCATAGTTTTTTGTTTCAAGATAAATCATACTGTTTATTAATTTTTCAGTATATCATTGAAATATGTGGTTCAAAGTAAATTTTTTTTAGCCATTTGGTTCGATGGCCCACTAACTACAATATCTATATGTAATCAAATCGATGAAGAGTTCGTCTTGCTCACTTTTGTAAACGAGAATTTCGTGGAGTATGTTACTACGATTAAAATTCCTTGCTAGTAGAACTCCTTGGGAAGATCTGTTTGTTCACTCTATATATTTTACAAAGCATTTTTCTTTCAAACATGTATAGTCTGTTTTCCTGGTCCCTTATTACTCTTATTAATGTTCCGACCCATACATTAATACTACTTAGACTGCACTAATTGTTGTGAAGAACATGAACTTCATTGGTTCTGATAATAATCATTTCCTAATTCTTACAAATCTTTAGATCAGAATAATTTTATAGAGAATTTTTGATGTTATCTCTTAGTTAATCGTAAATTCTAAGTGTTCCAATGAGGAGTTCGTCTTGCTCATATTTGTAAACGAGAATTTCGCGGAGTATGTTACTACGATTAAAATTCTTTGCTGGTAGAACTACTTGAAAAGATCTGTTTGGGTAAATATCATCTCTACAAGCCATTCTAGGTTTTGACACCCTCTAGAGTTATACTCCAACAGGTTCAACTCCAATCCTTCTTACATCTCTCTCCTTGGCTCTCCTCAGCCCACATCTCCCACTAGCCTTTACTGATATATTTATGTGTATTCTTCTAGTCGGATCTTCTCCCTCTCACTTCATCATGCGTCCTGTCGATCTCTGTCTTGCAATTTTTATGCCTTTCGGATATACAGGATATACGGATTATTTTAAAACATGCCCTATTTAGTCAAGATTTCAAAATGGTATAACACTTGCCATTTTTCTTTTCCTAAAAAATATGATTGCCTGTTTTTCTGCAAAAAAACGCGTTATTTAAAAAATTCATACTTTTGTATGTTATTTGTATTTCCACCAAAATGATTTAACAACTTTGTTAGAAGATGTGCCACTCAATATCTACAGAGAAATGTGGTTTCAACAAGATGGTTCCCAGCTCATTATGCTTGTCCTGTATGGGATTACATACAGAATACCCAGAAAGATGGATTGGGTCTAAATCCCTTTGATTTTCTTATTAGGATTGCATAAAAGAAAACAGTGTATTAAAAACCGATTGAAAATCTTGACGAACTGAGCTACAATATTTATACAGCAGCAGAAGAAATAAATGCAAAGAGATTTGCACAACTAGTAAAAAGATCTTTTCTGTGACGATGCAGAGCTTGTATTAGTGCCGACGGTAAATAATTTAAGCATTAAGAAAATAATGCTATAAAGTTAATAATAAATAAATTTGTTTGTTTAATTTTGTCTTTAGATTAACCTTATTTGAAAGAGTCTTTTTGCAAGACACCATCTTGTTGAAACCACATTTTGTAGTTCGTAGATATTGACTGGCACATCTTTTAACAAAGTTAAGAGGAAATAAAAAGTAAATACAAATAACATACAAAAGTATGAATTCTTTAAATAATGTGTTTTTTGCAGAAAAACAGGCAATAATATTTTTTATGACAAGAAAAATGGCAAGTGTACCATTTTGGAAACTTGACTAAACAGGCCACCTTTTAAAATTACTTGCAAAGGGTGTTGTACTACTCCTTTTTTTAGAAATCGTGTGTCAAACTTGATAGACATAAATTCTTTCAACCTTAACTCAATCAAATTAATATATTTTTTTGCAAAACTAACGACTTTTAGGAATAGGTTATTAAAAAATCATTTTTAACATTTTCAAAAGTATGTCTATTACTACTTAACTAAGGCCCACTTTTACCACCTCCTGATAAATTTATCCGATAGATAAATCCAATTCTTAGCCAATGAGAGCGGTTAAAACCGCCGTAACCATGGCAACTATCCTCTAGATAGTTTATCAGGAGGATGGTAAAAGTGGGCCTAAGAGACATGGATTTTTTTTCTCATTTTTACCAGAACAGGTATGGGTTGGCCTCTCACCCGGTGCCCGTTTGACGTTGAGTTTCGGGACATCCTGTATATTTCGTATAATTCACTCCATATATTTTACAAAGCATTTTTCTTTCAAACATGTTTAGTCTGTTCAAACCCATACATTACTACTAAGACTGCACCAATTGTTGTGAATAACAAGAACTTCATTGGTTCTGATAACAATTATTTCCTAATTCTTACAAATGTTTAGATCAGAATAATTTTATAAAAAATTTTTGATATTATCTCTTAGTTAATCGTAAATTCTAAGTGTTCCAAATAGCATTAATCCCCAAAAATATCGATCCACTCCTATCCATTATATTTTAATTTCACCTCTACATTCAGCATTAATTATTCAAATGTGTACATTAACATTGATTAACATCACGCTAACAACGAGGTCACAATAAACACAACATTAATTATTTAATTTAATTTTAGCACCAAAGATTCTTCTTACAACGAAGAAGACCAAACCATAAAAATCTTTATGAGAGGTCGACCAATTCACCTTCCAGCACCATCAGATATTGCAGACACTTACGATATGTTAAAAGTTGAAACAGCCCCATCGCAAAGATTAAAATTGGATTGGGCTTATGGATATAGAGGAAGAGATTGCAGGTCGAATCTTTATTTCTTACCAACTGGGGAAATGGTGTATTTCGTTGCGGCGGTCGTGGTACTTTACAACCAAGAGGAACAATGTCAGAGGCATTATTTGGGTCACACGGACGATGTTAAAAGGTAAAGTGGAAGCCATTTGTATCGATTTGTTTTTGTATTCCGCAGGGCGTGGTAATGGATTTCGAAAAAGGTCACGGTTACAACAATTTTGATTAATGAAAGAGATTAAAACGTAATTTTTAACATAATCGATTTTTTTTTAGTTTGGCTATTCATCCAAATAAACTTTTGATTGCAAGCGGTCAATGTGCAGGTCATGATAAATCAACAGCAAGACCACACATTAGAATTTGGAACTCGGTTTCGCTTCATACCCAAGCGATTATTGGAATGAACGATTTTATTCATTCAGTTTGTTGTTTATCGTTTAGTAAAACTGATGGGGGTTCTTTACTTGTTGCTATTGATGATTCGAATGATCATACAATTTCAGTTTGGGATTGGCAAAAAGGTGATCAAGGATATAAAATTACAGAAACAAAAGTATGATGATTAATTTAAAAAGAAACTTTTTTTCTACTTCGTTTATTCTTTTTAGTGTTCTGTTGATACAATTGTAGCAGCCGAGTTTCATCCATTAGACAGAAATACAATAGTAACGTGTGGAAAATCCCATATTGGTTTTTGGACTTTAGATGTTAATGGGACTCTTTATAAGCGAATGGGGATTTTTGAAACTCGCGATAAACCAAAGTACGTCACTTGCGTGGCTTTCCTTCAATCTGGAGATGTTATTACGGGAGATTCAAACGGAAATTTGGCGATTTGGGGAAGGGGAACGAATACGATCCAAAAATTCGTTAAGAATTTACATGAAGGTTCCATTTTTACACTTTGCGTTTTAAAAGATGGGAGTGTTGTAACAGGCGGGGGGAAAGATGGGAGAGTTCAACATCTCGATTCGAATATGAAAAAAGTTGAAGATGATATACAAGTAAATAACGAAAAATAAATTATCTAATTAAAATTAAAAAAAAATATTTTAGATTGAAGGTCACTTTGGAGGGATTCGTGTAATATCCGAAGGAAGAGGTTCCCAACTCCTTTTAGGCACCACCAGAAATTGCATATTAATTGGGAACAACAGCATAGGGTTCCAACCAATTATTTTAGGGCACGCAGACGAACTTTGGGCACTTTCAGCTCACCCAACGATCCCCCAATTCGTTACTGCCGGTCAAGATAAATTACTCCAAATGTGGGATTCGATGTCACATAGCATATTATGGAGTAAAGATATTGGGGAACAAGCCCAAAGCGTTGCTTTTTCTGCTGATGGGACCGTTGTGGCTGTTGGTTGTGTAAATGGGCGTTGGATGGTTTTTGACACTCAAACTAGAGAGCTTTTGGGGCAACACCAAGATGGAGTTGAACCCATCCAGGTTATTCAATATTCTCCAGATGGAAATTTGGTTGCTATTGGGTCAAGAGATAATCATATTTATATATATCAAGTTAATGATGGAGGAATTCGATGTAGTAAAGTTGGGAAGTGCATGGTATGTTAAAATTTTTTTTTCTTTCTCAATTTAAAAAAAAATTTAATCACTTTATCTTCTTCTCTCACCATACCACAATATTATAAAGGGTCCAAAAGGAAATGGGGTAAAATTCATATTATATCCATTTTTTTTTTTAATTAAAAATTTTTTAATTATGTAATTTTCATTAAAAATCCTTTAAAATGAGTACAAACACGACATATTTATCTTCAATATTAATGAAGTTATGATCAACTTCCGGTTAAGAATGTCAACGTCAATTTTGACATATTTGTAATCGTCGTGAAAAATCCTTTAAAATGAGTCCAAACATGATACGTTTAATTCCAATATTACTCGAGATATAAGCAACTTCCGGTTTGAAATGTCAATGTTATTTTGACATACTCATAATTTTTATAAAATGTGTTAAAATTATAATATAATTATAATTATTATTAATTATAATATAATATAATAATAAAAAGAAAATGCGGAAAAGTGACTAGCACTAGATTAACTTCAGTTTTAAACTTCTATTATGATAATTAACTTCAGGTTTAAAATGTCAACCTCAATTTTGACATATTTGTAATCTTCATTAAAAATCCTTTAAAATGAGTACAAAGACGACATATTTATCTTCAATATTAATGAAGTTATAATCAACTTCCGGTTAAGAATGTCAACGTCAATTTTGACATATAATCGTCGTGAAAAATCCTTTAAAATGAGTCCAAACATGATAAGTTTAACTCCAATATTACTCGAGGTATAAGCAACTTCCGGTTTAAAATGTCAATGTCATTTTGACATATTCTTAATTTTTAAAAAATGTGTTAAAATTTGTCACAAAAACGAAAATATAATAAAAAAAATTAAAAATAAAGGTTGGTATTAAGATTTAAAAATTAAATTGCTAACTTCAGGTTTAATGTTTTTTATTTTAACTTTTTTGTTTTTTGAGTTAAGTGCGTCATCTTTGGACTCATTTTAAAGGTTTTTTAATGAAGATGACAAATATGTCAAAATTGACGTTGACGTTTCAAACCGGAAGTGATTGTATCCCCATTAATATTAAAGTTAAATATGTCGAGTTTGGACTCATTTTAAAGGATTTTTTTTGACAAATATGTTAAAATTAAAAGTTGAAAGTTCGAACTTTTTGGTGTTTTGAGATGAATGCGTCAAGATTGGACTCACATTTAAGGTTATTTTATGAAGATTACGAATATAATAATAAAATTAAAGTTGACATTGACAAGTGTCAAACTAAAGTTTCTCTATTTCAAGAAAAAAATTAATCACTTTATCTTCTTCTCTCACCATATCACGCTATCATAAAGGGTCCAAAAGGAAATGGGGTAAAATTCATTTTATATCCATTTTTTCTTAAATTAAAAAATTTTTAATACAAATTTCCCATAAATTAATAAATTATTTTGCAGGGTCATTCCAGTTTTGTAACCCACATTGATTGGTCATCAGATAGTCAAATCATAAGGAGCAATTCTGGAGATTATGAAGTCTTATATTGTATGTTTGTAATATAGCTTTAATTAAAAAGATTGAATTATTTTTTTATTGTAGGGAATGCAACAACTTGTCGCCAAATAACACAAATAAACGCAATTCGCGACGTTGATTGGGCTACAAATACTTGTACAATATCGTTCTCAACTGTAGGAATTTGGCCTGAAAATGCTGATGGTTCAGATGTAAATGCATGCGATAGGAGTCATGATAGGACTTTAATGGTTACAGCTGATGATTTTGGGAAGGTTAAGTTGTATTCTTACCCGGTTATACAACCAAAAGTAAGTAATTAATAATTTGATTATACCTAAAATTATTTGTTACATTTTTTAGTCATTAAGTCATGTTTATGGTGGTCATAGCAGTCATGTAACAAACGTGGCGTTTCTTCATGACGATACAAGATTGATTAGCGTTGGCGGAAAAGATACAAGCGTTTTACAATGGACGGTTTCATAAATATCTAAGAATTTGATTTTGTTTAAATGTTAATTAATCAAGTTCACGCTGATGCCTGATTTAGGATAGTTTTAAGTTACAATGACTAGCATATCTTTGATTAGGAATTAAAATGGATTAATCTCTTTATTTATTATCACGTCAATTCCTATTTTTTTTTGTAATTTCCTAGAATTAAGTGTTTACTGTTTATCAACTGAATATAAAATTTTTAATATTCGGTCTAGTCCACGTTCTAATATTTAAACGTTTCTATAGGATTCGATTCTTTTAGAAAGGTAAGAACACAATTTGCTACATAGTGTTACAAAAATGTTTTCAAAAATAACGTCTGTTGTGTGTCTAAACGTTTAACACAAATATATTTTTTTGTAATGTCTAATTCGTATTTCATACATGTGATAAAATAATAAAAACATTCCTATGCAAGAAAATTGTTTTTTGTTTATTCAAATATTTCCATCAAAATTAATAGTAACTTTCCTTTAAAAATATTTAAGATTAATTTGTACTTAAAAATTAATTTTGATTCACGAATTATTTTCTATTTCTACCTCTACTAAATATATTTAAATATTTCCCTCTCGTCATTTCCTTCGATTCCTCTAGTCCTAATTGATAAGCCATATCATGAAGTTCTTTTACTTTTGCTATAACAGCTGCTGTAGGAAGTGAAGCTAATTCTACAAAAAAAGAAACTTCTTTAGCTACACTCAGCAAAAAGAAGTCTGGGTACAACAAAGTTAGAATGCTTTAATCAGGAAAAAAATAGTGATAATCTAATACAATAAACTTCAAGTCATATTTATTCTGTATGTTAATATGTTAATAATGACCTCCCTTGATATTAAATAATGTTGAGATAATGTTCTCAGAATAGACAAGCTCAAACTATTGAAAATTATTTGGTGCCTCTCCATTTTTATCACAGAACATTGATGACAACTATCACAAGTACAGAGGGCATACAGGGTGTTTCTTAATCACTAAAACGAGAGAAAAAATGATGATTCATGTCAAAAATCTACAAATAGATTAACACCTCTCATCGTTTTGTTAAAAAGATCACATATCAAAGTCGAAATCAGTACGGATTAAAATTTAAGAACGCTCTTTTTTAGCAAAGGAAATATTAAGAAACTTGGCAAACTTAAAAATCGACGGTTTTTTTTTAAATCAATGAGAAATGACCCAAAAAACACGTTAAAAATAAAAAGAAAGTGTGGAAAAGTGACTAACACTAGATTAACTTCAGTTATAAAACTTCTATTATATAATAACTAACTTCAGGTTTAAAATGTCAACCTCAATTTTTACATATTTGTAATTTTCATTAAAAATGCTTTAAAATGAGTACAAACACGACATATTTATCTTCAATATTAATGAAGTTATGATCAACTTCCGGTTAAGAATGTCAACGTCAATTTTGACATATTTGTAATCGTCGTGAAAAATCCTTTAAAATGAGTCCAAACATGATACGTTTAATTCCAATATTACTCGAGGTATAAGCAACTTCCGGTTTAAAATGTCAATGTCATTTTGACATATTCTTAATTTTTATAAGATGTGTTAAAATTTGTCACAAAAACAAAAATATAATAAAAAAAGATCAAAAATTGAGGTTGGTATTAATATTTAAAAATTAAATTGCTATCTTCATTGTTGCGAACTTCAGGTTTAATGTTTTTATTCTAACTTTTTTGTTTTTTGAGATAAGTGCGTCATGTTTGGACTCATTTTAAAGGATTTTTTATGAAGTTGACAAATATGTTAAAATTAAAAGTTGAAAGTAATGTTTATATTTATATATTGTTAACATACAGAATAATACGATTTGAAATTTTTTTTTCTCAGTTATAGCATTCTAAGTTCTTTGTACCCAAACTTCTGCTGCTGAGTGTTTTAATCTATCAGTCTTTTAGTTTAGAAGGAATCATTGAGGTAGAGAGGGATTAAGTTAGAGGAATCAGATAGAAACATAAAAAAATAATGGATGAGGAAATGGCACGACGGAAAATTAAACTCCTAAAACATATTTGTCGGTTTAAATTTCATATTTTAAAGATATTTAAGTATTTATGACCGTTTAAGGGTTAATACAAAGCCTGGTTGTAACTTTACTTTTAATAATCTAGATTAATTAAATTAATCCATTTTTTAACATTAAAAAATAATAAAATATTAAAAATGTTAAAAACGTGATTCAAAAAACAAACACAAAATACAAAAATTTATTCACTGTGATAAAAAAAATATAAGAATAAACGAAAACAGTACAAAAACATACATTTTTAATAAAATGTAACATTTTAGAAAAAGTGGGTGGAATTTTCTCTCATTCTTCCAACAAGACGCTTTTCAACTCAGATTTACTAAAAACGTCATGTTTCTGAACTTTGCTATCTAAATAATTCTATAAATTTTTAATGGAAGTCTTGGTAGAATCGCCAGTCGCTGCTAAGAGGTAGTTTACCCCATGCTATGAGGTAAATTGGTTTTTAAAATATTGAGATGATACTTTCATGAGTAAATAGAACAGTTTTCCAAAAATAAAAAACTTTATTTTCGTGCTCTTTTGCAAATATTAATATATTTTGATTCTTTTTACTGATTAACGGTATTCTTATCGTTTTTCTACCATGTAAATTAACATTATGGAGCATGTTTCTCATGGTTGATGAACCAGCTTTTTTCTCTAGTTCATTCTCAACAATAATAGCCAGCTTTGGTGCGCTAAGAAATTTAATTTTTCTTATTAAATTCAATAAAAATTTTATTATGAGCGTTCTTTGGCTTGTTTGTCACTCATTTGTGGATACTGAAACGCTTTATTATATATCATGCACCATAGAATGGCTTCATTAAGCATTAATTTTCTAATTTCAATAGTTTATAGGCCTCTTTGTTTAGACATTTCGAATAAAAAGCTAGATTTCTGCGCGAATAATACAAAAAAGTCAATTAGGGAATTCCCCTTGTCTACTGTCAAAGCTTCTATATGAAATTGTTTATAACTTTTACTTATGGCAGCCTTAAATTAGCGCTTAATTGGTTATTGTCTGAGTTTGGCTGGTTTTTGTACTGTTTTTGTTTATTTTTTTATTAGTGAATAAATTTTTGTATTTATTTTTGAATATGCAATTAATAAATTACTGAAAATCAATTTATTTTTCTTCCTAGCTGTTTTAGTTTGAATATTTTTTCTTAAGAAAGTATTATTATTGTATTGTCTAAGTTTGGCTTGGAGTTACTGTAATTATTTAGAACATAATAGTTATTTAAAAGATAAATAACAATGTTTGAACTCTTAAAATGAATTTGATTTATTAATTTTCTCAAAATTAATTGTGACATGTCACATAAAATGGTTTAAAATGTCAAAATGACACTTCTAACCTAAAAAAGGAATGTCAAAGTAAAATTGGTCTAACCTAGAACAAAAATGTGATGATTATTGTTATTTATTTTTTAAATAATTTTATGGAATAAATTAATATTTAATTAATTTGACTAAAATAAACTTATTCAACACATATATGAAACAAAAAGATAAAAGAAATAACTTACGATGTAGATAATTTTCATCCTCTGAAGTGAACTCCTTTGAATATGGAAGCTTACCATTGTTATTGTTTGGTGGTGTAAGTAAATTCATAAATTCTGACATCCCTGGAACTATTTAAAAGACAAAAATATAACTGAATAAATAACCCCATTTATTACTTACTTTTCTCTGGCCACAACTCGGGGGACGATCTATCCATATTTTCCATGCTCATTAAGCTCGTCTCTAACTCAAAAGCAGAATCGTCTGCAAGAATAAATCGATTTTCAACATTTGACAGCACACAAATGTAACCTTCGTTATATTTAATTCGAAAATACTAAAGCGATAAAAATATTACCCAGAAAAAAAGTAACGGTTACAAAACTATGTGATACAAAGAATTTAATGTAATAAAAATAATCTTGTAAAAACGAAAACGAAAAGAAGAAATTCAAAATTTTTTGTTTACCTTGTTGAACAGTCCCGGGTTTCTCGGACGCCATCGTAACATGTATACCAACCGTCGGTGACGACGAGAACGACAACATAAAAATAACGTTAAATCAAAATTCCCCCAGATCTAACCTGTGCGTGTTGTTAACGTGACGTTCCGTCAATAAAAATGACTAATTAGGGCATTAATTGTTCGTTAAAGCGCGACCAAAAGTGCCGCATGTGCACCACAAATTAACCCGCGTCTTATTATCAACATTTACCGATACTAGTTTTTTACCGAATTACGACGGTAAGTAAATTTTTATTCTATTGAATAGAAATCGTTTTAGCATCATGTAATATGTAACATGTCACAATGTTGTGGTTTCCGCCTTAAAAAACGCAATTTTAAAACAAATTAATGTAAAAAAAATGTTTAAATTAAAAAGTTTGGTTAATTATACTTAATTAAATGAAATAGAATCGTTAGTTTTATGAGAAATTAAAAATAAAAAGGTTTGTATATTTTGCTAAAGAGTTTAAAAGAATGTTAATTATTTATATTATTGTTAATTATATGAAAGTGTTGTTAAATGAGATAAAAATTATAAATATTTATATAATATGATAATAGATGTCACTAATAATAGTATTTTTGATTTTTTTTTTTTTAGGTTATGAAAAATCTAAAAACACCTTTTTATTATTGATTCCTTAAAATTACTAAAAATATATCATTAATTTGTTTTGAGAACATTAAAAAGAGCGTCAGCTGTATTTTTAAATTAAATTTATAGCCCGAATTATTAATATCTTGACAATTTAATGATTTATACACAAAGGTACAATTCCGAGACAGGCGATACATCTACAGTATGCAAAAACACGTATTTGAACACCAATTTATAAATATTGTTGATGATTTATTTCACTAAGAAGTGTAAAAGTAAAAGTGGATGTCTTGGTTATACAGTTAAGAGATACACAGTAAGGAGGCAACAAAAACGTCCTTAATTGGACCACAACGCGGTTGTGGACTACAAAAAAGCCATCTAAAACAAGTAAACAACAGTTGGGAGGCCTCAAAGGTAACCTGGCGCTGGAAAGAACTTTTTAGGTCGCAAAACAAAACCAAAGAGGTTTTATGCCTCGGTAAAGGGGATGTAAAGTTTCCTGTCCGGCCATGCGACCCTAAAATACCACCTCTTAATAGTATCAGAACATTAGATACTATTTGAAGAAAGTAAGAAAAAGATTGTTGTGCTAGAAGATTACTTGCAAATTGCAGAAGGATAGATATCACCGGTAGAAATCTTGATGGAAGACCAGATCTTCCTTATAGAAAACTAGGCTCTGCTGGCTAAAATGCTTAAATACTTCAGACGAAAGACGATATTTTTCTTATAGAAGACTAGCCTCTGCTGGCAGAAAGCCATGCGCCCCTAAAATACCACCTCTTCCACATTGCACAAGCTGAGGATCAAACTTGTTGACTTTGCAACGACGAGTCAGAAACTTCTGAACATATACTGTGTAATTGGGTTGCCAGAGGCCGCCTAAGACACAAAATTTTCGGTAAAGCTCTTTTGACACCTACCACCATGAAGGAACAAGACTTGGAGCAATACTAAGGTTCATTAAGGACGTACATTTGCCCTAAACTGACAGAAAGATAGATACCACTGGCAGATTAATACTTTACCTTCTGGTAGAAGCTAAAGTATTAATAGAAGACTACATTTTTCTTATAGAAGACTAGACTCTGTCGACAAAAGACTAATATTGGTTGGAAATTACCATTTACTGCTTGTAAAATGCTAAATAGTTCTGGTGGAAGACGATATATTAGCAAAGGAAGACTCCACCTGGCTTATAGAACATGAACACAGTTTATAGAAGTCTAGATATCACTGGCAACAAACTAAATGGTGTTAGCAAATAAGCAGATACAGCTAACAGAACATTAGATACTATTTGAAGAAAGTGAGAAAAAGACTAGAGATTGTTGTGCTAGAAGATTACATACACATTGCAGAAGGATAGATATCAATTAATGGAAGACCAGATCTTCCTTATAAAAGACTAGGCTCTGCTGGCAGAAGACTAAATATTGCTGGAAGAAAACTAAATATTGCTTTGAAATCATTTACTGCTTGTAAAATGCTTAAATACTTCAGAGGGAAGACGATATATTACGATATTTTTCTTATAGAAGACTATACTCTGCTGGCAGAAGGCCATGCGCCCCTAAAATACCACCTCTTCCACATTGGACAAGCTGAGGATCAAACTTGTTGACTTTGCAACGACGAGTCAGAAACTTCTGAACATATACTATGTAATTGCGTTGCCAGAATCCACCTAAGAGACAAAATTTTCGGTAAAGCTCTTTTGACACTTGCCAACATGAAGGAACAAGACTTGGAGCAATATTAAGGTTCATTAAGGCCGTACATTTGCCCTAAACTGACAGAAAGATAGATACCACTGGCGGATTAATACTTTAGCTTCTAGTAGAAGCTAAAGTATTAATGGAAGACTAGATTTTTCTTATAGAAGATTAGACTCTGTCGATAGAAGACTAATATTGCTTGGAAATTACCATTTACTGCTTGTAAAATGCTAAATAGTTCTGGTGGAAGACGATATATTAGCAAAAGAAGATTTCACCTTGCTTATAGAACACTAACACAGTTTATAGAAGTCTAGATATCACTGGCAACAAACTAAATGGTGTTAGCAAATAAGCAGATACAGCTAACAGAACATTAGATACTATTTCAAGAAAGTGAGAAAAAGACTAGAGATTGTTGTGCTAAAAGATTACATACAAATTGCAGAAGGACATCACTGGCAGAAATCTTGATATTTGTTAATGGAAGATCAGATCTTTCTTATAGAAGAGTAGCCTCTGCTGGCAGAAGACTAAATATTGCTGGGAAATCATTTACTGCTTGTAAAATGCTTAAATATATTACAATATATTACGATATTTTTCATATAAAAGACTAGAAGCTCTGGTGGCAGAAGACTATTGACAAAAATCTAATGTTTCTGGTATACGGCAAACTATTAATAGAAGACTAGATCTATTTTATAGACGAATAGAGCCTGTTGGCAAAAGACCTAATACACTTTGGTGTGCGAGGGGCCTAAGAATTTGGCGAGAGAAAAACAAACCTATATTCATATCCAAATAATCTGACACTTTCGTTCAAGGGTGGTGGAAATTTGGTGATGATATGGGGACGGTTTTCAGTGGCAGGAGTCTGAAATCTTCGTTTTATTGATGCAATATTTACTGCGAAGAGATGCATAAACATTATGAAAAAAAATGAGCAATGTGCAAAAAAGTTGGGATGTTTACGAGATTTTATCTTTCAACAGGATCATGATTCGGAGCATACCGCGCTAGTTTCTAGACTTTGAATCGTGTACAACTGTTCAGAGCACCTCAAAACACCACCATAAAGCCCAAATCTTAATCCTATTGTCAATATTCAAGAATTACACCAGGAAAATTCGAGATGTTGCTGGCCGCCTAGAAACATTCGTGTTTAGCCGCACGTCTCTCAGTATGGTTAAACCCGAATGATTCTAGCTCTAGGTCTTGTGTTAGTTCTAGTTTTACTTCAATAAAAAAATACAACATAGTAATATCTTATGCTAACTTACCACTGCCACTAGAACTAATACTAGACCGAGAACTAGAAACATTCGGATTTAGCCGCACGTCTCTCAAGACGGCTAAACCCGAATGATTCTAGTTCTAGGTCTTGTGTTAGTTCTAGTGATAATAGTGCTAGTGTAAAACTAGAATTAACACTAGACCGAGAATTAGAAACATTCGGATAGAGCGACACGTCTTTCAAGACGGCTAAATCCGAATGATTCTAGTTCTAGTGTTAGTTCTTGTGATAGTGCTAGTGTAAAAGTAGAACTAACACTAGAACTGTCTAGAAGCTGTCAACTGTGATCAAAATGTCCTTTACCGTTCGGTTGTCGAACTTTGTTGATTGAATAAATCAACGAAAATAGTTGAAATTTCTACTACCATTCTTGAGTAATTCGTGATTTGCTAATATTTCAGAAAGTGTTCAAATACGGATTTTGCATACTGTATCTCACTGAATTATCTAAATTTATTACAAACATTTCCAACCAACAAAAACACTGAAATCTGGCAGCTAAAATCTGCGTTGTAGCCAAATAGATTGGGTTTAAAATGTTTTAAGAGATTTAAAGCTGTATTAAAATATTTCAAAATCAAATAAATACACTTATCTAATCTTTGTAGCTAAATAAAATTAATTAACAAAATAGATATCCTAAAAGAAAATAATATTCATTGATTTCAAAATAAAATATTTTTAAAATTTTTTCAAATCTTTTTTTGTTTTTAGATAATAATAATTCTTTAAGATGGGCCAAACCTTATCAGAACCAGTAACAGCAAAAGATACGGCATGTTGCCAAAATACAAGCTTTCGAGTAGGTTCAAGTTGTATGCAAGGTTGGCGAGTAAACATGGAAGATTCCCATTCGCACATTTTATCACTTCCGGATGATCCAGGAACGGCATTTTTCGCCGTTTACGATGGACACGGAGGTGCGAAAGTCGCCGATTATGCGGGTAAACATCTCCATAAATACTTAACGAAACAAACCCTTTACAAAGAAGGCAAAATTGAGGATGCTTTAAAACAAGCTTTTCTGGAAATCGATGAAGATATGCGCGAGGATGAAGCTTTGAAAAGGGAACAAGCCGGAACGACAGCCGTTTGCGTGGTTATTAAAGATAACAAGTTGTTTTGTGCGAATGTCGGCGACTCAAGGGCGGTTGCAAGCATTAAAGGGATTGCGGAACCGCTTTCAACAGATCATAAACCTTGTAATGTTATTGAATATAATAGAATTACAGCCGCTGGTGGTTGGGTTGATTGTAATCGTGTTAACGGAAATTTGGCGTTATCTAGGGCACTTGGCGATTTTGTTTTTAAAAGGAACCAAAAAAAATCACCTGAAGAACAAATTGTTATAGGTAAAAACATTTATTGAGATAAAAATAAATCGAAATTAATACAATTAAATTTTTAGCAAATCCTGACGTGGAAATTCGAGAAATAAATGAAGATTGGGAATTTATAGTGTTAGCTTGTGATGGTATTTGGGACGTAATGACCAATTATGAAGTTGTTGGATATATTCGAGAAAATTTAGCGTTGGGGATTGAGCCAGAAGAAATTTGCGAAAGTTTGATGATGCGTTGTTTAGCACCTGATTGTCAAATGGCTGGTTTAGGATGCGATAATATGACGGTTGTGATAGTTTGTATGTTACATGGTAAACCATACGAAGAATTAAGCGCAAAATGTGCTATAGAAGCGCCCGAAAATTTAAGCGAAATGGAATTTGAGAAAAAATATACCATCGAACCAAACGACGAAGATCAAGAAAACGAAGAGCTTGTTAACCAACAACCACTTTGATTTGATGTTTTTAAAAATGGAATGAAATTTGTTTGAAAAGGATTTTTTATTGTTGTGGGTAAAAGTATCTGTAAATAATATTTGTAAATAATGGTATATAATGTATATGTATACGGTTTATTTTTGAGTTTTTGACAGTTACTTTCAAAAAGTGTAAAAGCTGGTTATTTTTTTTGTTGATTTTGTTTATCTCTAGTTTTTTTTTCTTGTTTTTGTTGCATTTGTTGTTTTTGACACTTAACAACCTAGAAATTGCTAAAAGGAATTGTACAAAATTGTTGTGTTTGTTGGTGTTTTAATGAAAAGAAATAAATAGATTTTAGTAGTATAATGGACAAATAATAAAGACAAAAAAATCCTAGTCAATGTACTAAGAAAAAAATTATAGACATTTTAAAATGTTTGTTAAAAACGATGTTTCTGCGAATGTTGTTTACATTCCCAGGAATTTTTTTTAGCATTCAAATTAATATAAAAAACTTAATTATAAAAGAAACTTTCACCGCATCACCACACACCTCCACCCGCCACTTTTGGTCTACTTTCATTATTATTGATAACAAAGTGTAGGGAAAACTCCAGTAGTTAAAAAAAAAGTGAAAATGCGGCTACTTTCCCCTTTGAAAGTAGTTTGAAAAATATACAACAATAATATACATATATTTTTATACACATTTTAAGAATGAACCTACATGTATGTTTTGTGATAATAGAATTATAGACTAAAAAAATATATATAAATAAATAAAATAATCTTTCTCGTTTATTGGACTAAGAATCATACCAAAATAATTGTTATCGTTTTTTTTTTCACCTGTTTCATTTATTACTTTTTAGGGACTTCCTTTTGATAGTAAATATAGTGACTTATTTTTTCGTTTTTAAGTACTATACTTGTAATTATTATTAGGTACAGTACATAACTTGAGAAGGGAGTAAATAAAATATAAAAAATTTTAAGTAGTTGATTATTTATACAATAAGGTATTGTTTTGTTCTGAATTTACGCTATTAAATAAAACATTAAATACAATTTTAACTTGATTTTAATCAATTTTCATTTACTATTCTACGTCATCCCAATTTCACTTGAATCATAAGGATTCAACACCAGTGGATGGAAATTTTTAATATTCTGGTACAAAATTATTTTTTGAATTTGAGTCACAAATAGTTGTAAATCCAACAACTTTGGATGAGGGTCCAAAGAAAGGTATTGTTTCCTATGTAACAACCAAGTGCCGAATAACAAGTAAAACTAGAACTAACACTAGACCTAGAAACTTTCTAGGTCTAATTTTAGTTCTAGTTTTGCACCAGCACTATCATTAGAACTAAAACAAGACCTAGAACTGGAATCATTTGGGTTAGCCACCTTGAGAGACGCATGATTAAACCTGAATGTTTCTAGGTCTAGTATTAATTCTAGTTTTAAGTTCTTTCTAATTCTAAGTTTATTAATTTTAGTGTTAATTGTTTTTTAGCGCTAAGCTGTTGCATATTTTGATTGAACTAAAAGTAGAACTAACACTAAAAGCATTCGGGTTTAGCCGCGCGTCTCTCAAGACGGCTAAACCCGAATGTTTCTAGTTTTAGGTAAAGTGTTAGTTTTAGTGCTAACTAACTAATAGAACTAATACTAAACCTAGAAACACTTGGGTTTAGCCGTCTTAAAAGACGAACGGCTAAATCCAAATGTTTCTAGTTCTAAGTTTAGTGCTAGTTCTAGTGATAATGTTAGGGAGCGCTAAGTAGATAGATAGATTCTTTATTGTGTTATTAAGAAAGACATCTCTTACACTCGTCGCCTGATACAGTCAGAATATTCAATTCAGTGAATTTGGTTTTGCTGCATTTAGAAGAGCGCAAACCAGTCATGACTCTCGCGTCTCTTTTTTGTTTTCGAAGCGTGTGGAGCGTGTCCCCCCCATATAATATGGTTTGGGACTTTTGTGTGTAGGCGTCTTTTTTATGTGTGACAGTGTGTCGTGTTATTCTATTTTTCTGATTTTTCTTTTTGCAAATTTTTTTTTCTTTTTGTGCCCGCTCTGTGTATGTGCGTCTCGCGTTTTCTTTTGGTCTCGTTTTTTTCTCCCATATTTTTAACAGGCTGAGTGAGATTTGGAGGAATTTCTCGTAAAGCAAACGTCAATGACTCAGTCTTGGACGCGTTCACCGCAAGATTATTACATTCAAACCAAGATAGAAGTCTTTGGGTAGAGCTAAACACAGCCTGATCCAGAGTATTGAAATTAGGGCGGGTATTTATACTTTGCATAAAGTACAACCTCCGAGCTCTGTGGCAGACAGCTAGGCATGTAATTAATAAATATCAAAACCAGCAATTCACCTAGTATGGATCCTTGTGGGACTCCGTATTTAATTGTAATTTTATCAGAAGTCTGGTTTTTCAAAGAAACATACTGAGGTTCACTAAAATGGTGAGCTTTTAATTTTAGCAACAATAATTCGTGGTCAACGCAGTCGAATCAAAAAATGATATCTCAGTTAGCAGGTTGTTTTCAAAGCCATTTCGTACGCATTGAGTTAAGGAGTGTATTGCTAAAGTGGTGGAAATGCCTAGACGAAAACCAAACTGAGAACATGTGATTTTCCAAATAGTCAACCAACTGCGATTTAATAATAATAACAATATTGTTGTTGAAAAAGTGGTTTGCAGCTTGCAGTCACCTGCTAAAAGCCGTAATGCTTTCTTTTGTTGCATGAAAATATCTTTGGCCGCCGGAGAATTCCCCCAAATCAGTATTCCATACGACGCCCTACTATGAAAGTTGGCAAAGTAGGTTGTTCTGGTAGCCTCATATCCAGTTATAGCCCGTATGCGCCTGACCGTAAATATTGCTACAGCCAGGCATCTTTGAAGATATTCAATATGAGAGTTCCAGCTTAGGTTTGACATAACATATATCCCCAGGAATTTAATAGGTTCTTGCTCCCGTCAATCAATTTTAGTTGTTAATAGTAGTTTTTGCGTCTTTTCGACATTAAGTTTCAAATTCTTGGCCCAAAACCATTCCGCAGCTTCGGCTATAACAACTTCTGACTTATTTTCAAGTTCAACGCTATGAACTCTATAATATTATTTTTCTATTGTTAAGATAACTACGAATCATTTGATTTGGTAGACCTCTTATACCATAATGTACCAGTTTATTCAACAGAATTTCATGTTGGACGCTATCAAAAGCTTTTGATAAGTCACAACATAATAATTGAACATCCTCCTTCTCGTCAAAACGCACGTGCCATAGCATCAACCAAGCAAGTTAGAGCTGAAGTGGTAGACTTTTGTCCCTGGTAATCGTGCTGAGGTTCATTAAATAATTTGTTATTTTCCATATACTCAATAAATCTGCTTTTTAATAGAGATTCGAATATTTTTGCAAAAACAGGAAGTATAGAAATAGGTCTATAGTTTTTATAATCATATGGACTATCCGATTTGAAAATAGGGACCACTTTGGCCACTTTAAGTTCATCAAAAAATATGGCGTTTGTAAAGCAACAATACACCATATTGGTAATGGGTATAACTAACACGTCAATAACATTCTTAACAAGGTAGATCACATCATATATGTCAGTGGTTTTCTTATTTGGTAGAGAAAGGACCGTCTGGAGAATCTCATGCTCAGTAGTAGGCTTTAAGAAGGAGGACTGTCGATTTCCGAAAAAGTAATTACTGTTGTTTTCTTGCTTCACTTTTAGCTCTTTGTTTATTAAGTGCCATATAGCCTTTTGTTTATTAGTCGCAGTATTGATAACTTCGACCACATGTTTTTGTTTTTCAGTCATGACCGCCGAACTATATTCTCTTCTAGTATTATTGTAAAGATCATTCACTTGAGTGTTCTTCGTTACTCTATTGATAGTATATAACAATAATCCAAATGTTTCTTAATTTCTTCAAGTTGTGGGGATAATCGTAAGAAAGTAGTACCCCCATGCGATTTTATTACTGTTTTCTCAGGAAAAGCCAAGATAAAACATTCCATAAAGTGGTCATGAATAAACAAGCATTGCAAGTGTGGAAGCAGCAATGCCATTTCACATCAATGTACGCCCTCCAAGAGTTTTCGGAATTTGTAAATATTAGCTGCATTCATTTTTCTTATAGTAATATATTGTTTTTTTCTTAGTTTCAGATACATCCAGCAGAGTGAATATTTGGGCCAAATGGTCTGATAGATGCGGTCGAGTTGTTTCTGTATTATAATCCGTTATGAGAGAATTAATAAAAAATTGATCAATACATCTACTTGTTAATTCCGTAATTCTAGTAGGTTCTGTGAAAACATAAATTAAATCAAACGAAAGCATATCTGTACATATTGCATATTTTCCAGAATTATCAGAAATAAAATCACTATATGGTGTTATCCATAACTGGTAATAATGTATGTTAGGACATCATAGAGTACCTTACGAAATTCGTTTAACCTCCCCTGGGACTGACCATAGACCGAAATAACTATCAGATTTACTTCAATAAGGAGAATACCAGCAACTTCTATCAGTTTGTCTACAGAAAAATGCTTAATGTTTAATTCCCTAAACTTTGTATTGGATTTTAGGCATATCATGACTCCTCCATACCCAGCATTATTATGTCTGCAATTAGACCATACCCAGATTATAGTTAGGAAACTTCAGACGTACCATTTAATGACAAATTCAAATATTTTACCAATTATGGGAATGATCGAAATAACTCAGTAGTTAGCCAATTCGCTGTTCTTGCCCTTCTTAAAAATGGCTTCAACATATTTTTGCGATCTTTAAACAATTAGAAAACGTGTTCGATTACAAGCATATTTCGCCCCCTTATTGAAAGCATGTGTATATGTTGTAGCTAAAACGCGCGTAAGCGCTTTGGTAATAATGGCTAGGAAAAATCCGAAATCTGAGCTTATGATACAAATGAATTAAAGTTACAATTCATTCCATTAAATTTTTCTTCATTTTCGTTCATTATTTAATGAGATTTAGCATTTTTATTTGATAAAATGTATATCAGGTAAATGAAAGTATTTTATAAGTAAAATACTTAAGTGCTATTGGAATAAAGTATATTTACGTTTTTATTTTTAAATACACACAGAAATATATCTACTTAAAAACTATGCAGTATCCTAATAAAAAATGGTGCAAAACTCAAAGAAACGTAAAAACGTGAGCAATGTTCAATAACGTAAAAATTATTGCTTTCCGAAAAATTCCAAGCGCAAAAAAGTATAAAAGTTATTCTTCTCGATATGGTTTTTCTTAAAAACTACGGTGAAACGAAAACGTGTTTAAAAAAAAAAAAACGAATAAAAATTTCTCTAAAAGGGTTATTTATGGGGCATCATTATTTTTCTTTTATTTTAGTAGTTCGATAAACCTGAGGATACGTTATTCTTTTTATTAACAATTTTCTTAATTCCAAGTAGATTTCTGATTTTTAATTTTTACGCGATTAATCTTATAAATATTTACAAGAACTCAACATCGTTTTCTTTTCAAATGAAAATAAATTGCGAGGGCTTCATTCTTTATCGTCTTTTCATCATCTTTTTTTAATACAAATATTCCATTTTTTTGTTCTACTCTACTTTTTATTTTTGTATAAAACATAACTCCTTCTGGTTAAAATATTTATTGTTATGTGGTTATGTGCAATTAATTAGTTTCCGTTTTTTTAACTTTTTTTACACGTAAGAATTGTCTTTTTACAATTCTTTCATAATTAATTAATTAATAATATTTACACTATAAACAACGTTTTCTTTTACTTTCACTAAACAATAAAAAATAATGCTAAAAACTAAATTATTTAAAAGTCTTCAAAATAAGAAGTTTCATCAAAATTAATCTAATTCTTTTTAACAAATAATGACGATACGCAATAAATAACGAATTGGCTTGATTTATGTAGTAAAGAAAAATAATATAACGCTAACTTACCTAAATAAGTCATGAATGAAGAAAAAGAGGAAAAAATGACTTTTTTAACAAAGGGCTCATCATTTATTCGCGGACGCCATTATTTTGTTGTTTTTAAATTCTTTTTTGACGTTTTGAGAACTGGGCGACAAACAAATTACGTCGTTATTTGCGTTATTCTCGTTATTTGTTTCTTCCACTTCCGGTTTTTCTTCTGACGCTACAGTTTCGTCCACTATGGGGCCATGTTCTTTCTCATAATCTTTTAAAACGCTATCTAAATTATAACGTTTACGATAATTGACGAAAAACGAACGAACATGATGTTCCGTTTTATTTCCTAAAACTTCCGCGATACTTTTAAAATCTTTACCATACTTTCGGACTCCTAAAAATATCTTTTATTATAAAAAAATGCTTATTAAATAAATTAAAAAACACACCTTGAACAGCTAATAATAATTCTTCATTAGTCCATCTTGCATTAACACGGGACGTATTTTCATTCCCAGGACGAAGATCTTCGATGGAATCGGAATGTTTTCTTTTCAAGGAGCTGATTGCTTGTTTATTTTGCTGGATCTGAAACAATAGAGAAAAAGTTTAATATTTTTTTAGAGGAAATTTTTAATTAAAATGTAACCCAACCTGTAAATGATTAAAAAAGAAAAAAATTATTAATTTATAAACTAAAAACTTATCTTGTATCTTATTTTTAATAATTATTAATTAAAACCAATTTCTGGAGACGATTTCTACACACAACTAATCTAGAAAAACAAAATTAGGAAAAACACACTAAACTAAAAACTCAAATAACTTAAAAAACAAGCACTAAATACAACAAACACAAACTTATTATAACCAAAACATAAACTTATTTTTAAAGAAAAGACATTCACATTCGAGAATTTCGAAAAGGAAAAGAAATAAGGTGCTTTAAAAAAATCAAAAATAAAATTAGGGAGGGCGGACACAGAATAAATCATTTTTGTAACGTTTTTCTGAGGGATTTCGTAAAAAGTATAACACATTTTTTTAAGATAGATATAGACAGCGTGTGAGAGGCGATTTTTTTATTGTTGAGAAGAGAATGTTTTATGACGAGAGTACTCACTTGTCGTTGAAGGGCGTCGCGTTCCCGGTCCATCGCCTTAAGCATTAGGACACCCGCGCCTCCGGTAGCCATCGCAGCCAGGTCGTCGTGATTGATGTACATGCCCCGGGGCGGCTTACGCTTATGGCGCCCGACCAGCGGGGCCCCGCGTTTGCCTCCCGTTGGACCCGACGTGGGCCTCAACAGTCCCGTCCGTCTACATTTACAAATTTTAGATAGAATCACTCAAAAAAAATTTTATCTATTCTTTATTTTTTTTCTTTATAATTTTTCCAACTAATTTTAACTAACAAATCGGGACTTTTTTTTACATTTTTACAAGAAAACATTCATAAATCGTACACACTGCAAAAAAAATTATTATAATAATTGAAAATATCTAAAAAGCTATAATTTTTTATTAACTTTCATCATCTATTATTCTTAATTCTTAAATTTTTTTGTTTGTGTGTTTATTTTTGTGGGACATACCTCCAATGCAGATAACAGGAATTACAAAGGGGCCCCTTCGGTGTCACCTGAGTGACCGTACAGATGACTCCGCAGTTAGAACACGTGCCACCCTCTCCCTGCGCACACATACCAACGTCAGTTACACCGGGTCGTAACCGACGAAAAAATACGGTTAAAACGAAAATTAAAACGAACAACGCTAAAAACGAAGGTATAATAGTTTTTGTTTAGAGTGTTCTTTATGTATTATGTTACGACATTTCTTTTTATAAGTTACGAAACAATAAAACGACATTACGTGTTAAACAAAAAACGGATTTTTTTTAGTGTTAAATGGGATCCGAAAAAGATTATGAAATGATTTACTCAAAAAAGCAAAAGTAACCTTTTTTGATTTTATGGAAATTGTTTTAAGGAAATGGGGAGAACACGAAAATAAAAAGTGCTACAAACATGAAAAATAAAGAACAACATAAATTTAATCTACGTCTAAACATTCTAATAAATAATTTAATTGTACTTAAAAGTTAATTAATTATTTAAATAAAATTATTATAAACTTCAACTTCCAGAAAACAGGATTTCAAATATTCTAATGAAAATGTAAAAGTCCTCATCGAGTTTTAGCGGCGATTTTTGCAGAAAAAAAGTTGATTATCAATTATACCTAAAGAAATTTCCTACAAAAAAAATTTATTATAATAAAATTCAGAAAAATCATGCATGTTATGTCGAATTGAACATGTTCTTGGAAATATCATCAGAAGAAAAAGAAATAATCTTAGGGAATGAAGAAACATAGATTGAATTGATGTTTGATTCTATCTAAAAAAAAATAAATAAATAAAAAGTATTCTTCAAGCAATCTTTCACTTAGAACGACTCGTTTTGAGCGAAACTTAATATTGCGTGTTCTCTTAGTTATAATATCAAATAGAAGAATTTGTTTCAAAACTAAATTTAACATAAAACTCAAGTAAAACATAAACATATTAATAAAACTCACTTTATGTATTCACATTGCCATTTTGCTTTGTTTGGTTATTTATACTGAATTCTCAAATCTACAATACTGGGTGTTTCTGTAAGTCGTGGCATAATTTTAATCACAAATACTAGAATCAAAATGATCACAATTTGTGTAAAAATTTTTGGTCTAAACCCATAAATGGGCCTTCAAAGTTAAGAAATTTTTAAACATTTTCAATATGGTTTGTCTTAGAAAGATGAAATTTGTCCAAATTGTGCAATGTTATCATGAGAAATCGTTTAAGATCACTTATATAACCTCAGAATCAATATACAGGTGTTCATGAAGGTTATTTCCTAAAACTTTTTGATTATGTCGTAAACTCCTTAATTTTCCAACTGATTTTCAAAGCCTATTTCATTTTAAAATGATTTTCACTCTTTTTCGCACCGTTTTAGAGTTATTCGCAAAAAGATACAACCTCAATTTGAAATGTTTTCATTAATCGTAAGTACCTATGAAAACAAATTGTAATTAAAGCAGTTAGTCACTAATAGGTGTTTAAAATGGCAAATAATTAGATTTAGTGAGCAAACTGACATGCTTTTAAGGTTGGGAGTGTGTTTAGGCAGTGCTAATGCAGCGGCGAGATGATATTACAAAAAATTTGACAACCTGATAAAAAAACATTTCTAAAAGTATGCAAACACGGGTAATCAGAGGTCAGTTTGTACACCCAAACTAGAAGAAAACATTTTGGATTTTGTGGTAGATCGTAGTACTACTAGTACTGTTGATAAATAAGTAATTAAGACATTTCGGAATACTCAAAAGTACGGTTTGGCGTATCCCATACGAATAGCAATTGTATCCATCATCTTGTACTTAACAGCACAAAAATTAAATATTGCTGATCATCCGTTTCGAGAACAGTATGGCAAAACTGTACTATGATGGAAAAATGTACTACTGATGCTGCGTTTTTAGAAAAAAATCTTACTGATTTCTATTAATTTGAAAAATATTCATAATTGGACTAAAAAAATGCAAATTTTACGCTACGTTGGATAATAATTTGACAGATTGGTTTACTAATGATTGGTTGATTTGTTTTCATGGGCGCCTAGGAGTATCTCAAAAACGAGGTTGTATCTTTTTGTGAATAACTCTAAAACAATGCGTCTAAAAATGAAAATTTAAGGGTTTACGACATAATACAAAAGTGATCTTAAACGATTTCTCATAACATTGCACTGTTGGTTAAATTTTATCTTTCTAACACAAACAATATCGAAAATATTTCAGAAAATGGTTAAAAATTTTCCATATCCTAGGCATTTATGGGTTTAGACCAAAAATGTTTACATTTTTGACTCTAGTATTTGTGATTAAAATTATGCCACGACCTACAGAAACACTCTGTATATTATAGCTGATGAATACTGTTTTGCTGTTCCTTTTTTACAGTTGTTTTGAAAATTTCTAAGCTGCAAACTTGATAACCAATTTTTTGTTTCTGCAAATAGACCCTGTAAAATATTTAGCAAAACTGGAATCTTACATTTTTATCAGAACTTCAAAATGAAGCGGTATTCCAAAATCTATCCTAACTGGATTTAATGAAAAATTGTGATAAAAAATGTTATAATTGAATGTAGGATTATTAAGGATTATATGATCTGCATTGAGTATTATTAAAGTTATATTAAAACTTTGAAATTCCTAATAGAGATAATTCCATTCTTTGAGGTTCATTGGCAAACTCAAAGACATTCAAGGAAGCCTTAATGTACCTTTGTAAGGTATAATTATGAATTAATATAACTAACAATTTGAAATGAATTATAAATTGAATCTGTATATCTGGAAAAATAAGGGATCATTTCCTCTCCAAGTTTTCAAGAGGACTCCTGGGTGGAAGTAATATCCCAATATCATATTGAAAAGTTCTTACAGAGTATGTTATCATTTTTCTAATTTTCCACTTAAATATAGCTTCCTTTTTTATCTTAATTAAAAAAAAATATCAATTCAATCAAGTTATCAAAATATGAAATGTTTCTATCATGTTGGATGTGAAAACCTTTATTACAAGTAACTGAGAGCTTTAATAACGTAAATAATCTCTTTTATAATAATTTAACATTTCACTGCTGAGTAATCTAATTCTAATGAGTTGTATAATATACAGGGTGGTTCAAAAAACCGCTGACACTTCTAGAGTAGATAACACATAAAAAATTAAGATGAATAATCTTAATACACATCGGGTCGCAAATATCTCCTTAACAAGATATAGCTAGTCTTTAAAATTAAACATAATTGACTATAAAAAGCCGTTTTTTTTAAATATTGTCTACACCATTGCTAATTTTGTCAAACGGGCAGTATTTTCGTGTAAAGTGATCAATTATCTATCAATTGGTGTCTTACAAAACTTTGATCAAAGCAATACTTTTTAAGAAAAACACATTTCGTCGGCTTAGTAAGAAAATCACGTACCCCCAATTTTTTCCAAAAATAAGATTTAGATGTAATTATGCAACAAATTATTAAATCTACCAATTCCGAAAACTTCGCGTATATTGAAATACACGTTTCCGCTCAAATGCACTTAACTAGGACTGTCAATGTAAAAAAAATCAGTTTTTTCTGTCTCCTGTAAAATTTTCCGAAACGGAGTTACGTGGTTCTCTTACTAAGCCGACGATTTGTAGAAAATTTGTTAATCCAATCAAAAACTGTTGCTTTAATCAAAGTTTTGTAAGAGTCCAATTGATAGATAAATGATCACTTTACACGAAAATACTGCCCGTTTGACAAAATTAGCAATGGCGCAGACAATATTTTAAAAAAATGACTTTTTTTGCAGATTATGTTTAATTTTAAAGAAACTTTGACCCGCTATATATATCTCATTAAGGAAGCATGTGCGACCCCTTGTATATTAACTTTAGAATGAGTTATATAACAATGATTTCAATTATAACATTTTTCCTATAATTTAATGAATACAAAGAAATAATTCCATTTTGCAAGTTGAAATTTAGCCAAATAGAACTGAAGTATTTTTAATTATTTTTACTTCTCAAAATAATAAATATGTAAGTGTTTTGGTGATTTAAAAACGATAAACCCGTATTTTTTTCGATAAAGTGCTTTGTTTTTTTTTTGTTTCAATAAATATCTGTTTATTAGACGACTACCTGGGCGGATTCGTCTGCCGTCTGGTTGCCGCGTGAAGGCGAGCCGCTCTTTCGCCTAATACCCCGGTGTATAGTCCACTTCTGGAATACAATTACACCTTATATAGGACTGAACGATACGTAGTTAACAGTACCTTTCCATTATTTTTTCACAATGAATCTTTTCAAAACTTTTTATATCATAAAAAGAAATGAAATACAAAAATTTTTATTAAGGTACCATAACTAAGCACGTATTTCCGGACTATAAAAAAATAATTAAAAGAAACACATGTTATCATGCGCTAACGATTATACAAATAAATACTTGGCGTGTTTGTGTTTGAAACTGTTTTACACTCCAATCAATAAAAAAAAACAATACCATGCTGTTAAACCATCAACAACCTTCGATACTTAATTAATACTTCTAAAGACTAAAATCTAACTAAAATGATTCTTTCTTTTATTACGGAGACGTGATTAAAACCTACCTTTTCGTCGTGATCTGATTCTTCGTTTGATCCACCTTCCGAACCCGCTTCAGAACCAGGAGCTCCATCTTCTCTGGGTTGTTGTAATTTGCGCGCTTGTTTATCCATTAAACTCGTACGAGATCTCGTCTTTTTCCAACTGTAGTAGTATTTTACCAAACTTGCAATACTTTTATCTGGTAACTGAGAAAATATTATAAAATAAAAATTATGCGACTTCAAGATATTTTTTGATAAAATATTTGATAATTCTCACCATTTGTCTTATTCTATGAAAACTCTTCCCATGAAATTGAAATGCTTGTTCAAATAAAACTTTATCTTCAACAGACCACTCATCAGGAAATGGTGTAAAATTGGCCAAATCAAGTACTGCCCTGTCGAGATCGTGTTTATGCCAAAAAAGCATTCCAAGTGCTTGTTCTCCATTGTATCCATATTTGTCTTTAGCTAAAACGATGTAATCTTCCACTGGAACAAAAATGGAATTCATTAAAAACAGTTTTTAAACAAGTAGAGGTATAAATAACAATATTATTAAAGTGAAGTGTAAAAACAATCAATACTTAATAAATTTAATACTCTATTAAGTACTTAAAACGAATTCTGATTATACCAGATCTTCATTAATACTTGTAGCTAAGTTCTTATCTTTATTACAAAGAAAATCTTTTAAAAAGCTAACTTAGTTTTGTTCAGAGCTGGGCAGTAAACTCCTCATTGTTAACTACTTTAGGTATTCTAACTATTTTTGTGAATGATGAATCTCTTGAGGGTATAATTGCGTCAGAAATGATACCGTCCATTAAACTAAGGTGGCTGAATGTTTACCAGGAAATTGATCATACAGTAAACAAAGAATTGTTCTTAAAATTTATTATAAACAAACGTTGTGGTTTGTTTGTTGATGATGTTCTGGAAGGAAGTGATGATAACCTAATTTTAACTGATGTACAACCTGGAAATAAATTTTTTGATTTCAAAGAAGATGAAACGTAAAAAATTATGATAAATACAAAAAAAACATCCAAATTAGAAAGATTTAGTAAGAAATAAATTGGAGTTAGTGTTATTGCAGGACATGGAAGAATTAATAAGAAATGCTCCATGATTATAAGTTAATTAAACAAGTATTTATAAAATACATACTGCAGTTGAATGGATGTTCAATTTTGCAACTTTGCTTAATTCATCAAGAAGACATGCTATAGATGAGAATCTTTTTGAGCAGTTGATTCTTTTAAAAGCAAACTTAACTTAAATTAAAAGTCGTTTTCAAAGTTACAAGATTCTACTTTGTTTATTATATTTTATATTTTTTAAATAATCTTAATACATACCTCATAAGTTTCAATTTTGTGTTTTTGTACCAAAAGGATCTGATTTTTAAGCATAATTTATGTATAACAGTTCAAACAGTTATTAACTGCTAACTAGAAACCTTTAAAATAAGCTTTATATAATAAAAAGTTATTTATTTTGCATTTATTTATTTATTATTGTAGACCTTTTTATGCATTTTTGCAGTTATAGTTAAAAAAGTAGTTACATATTTAATTATGAACTACTTGGTAGTTAGTGATCTAAGTACCATATTTTAAAAGGTTTAAGTACTTGGTAGTTAAACTACTTTTTAGTCAAAGTAGTTATTCTCCACTACTCTTTTCAAGTAATTTGCCCAGCTCTGATTTTGTTATCTATTTTGGATTTTCAACTGGATAATAAAGTTTTCTCTCTTTAGCCTCTTGAATATAAAGCAAATGTTGAGAATAAATTTAATTTGAGACCATTTTGCTTTGACTAAAAAGAAAAACATGGCTACTTAAAATTAATCGCAACTGGTAAAACATTTTATTTCATTATTTTAAAAGCAATTTATGAGTTCCAATTTCTCCTGCAATAAATATATACTTTATTTATTAAGTATATTTGTTAAAATAAACGAAACCTTCGATGTAGATAGGTTCGTACTCATTAAAATAGTAAAAAGGATATAACTTACATTTAGTTTCTGGGATATCCGTAGTTGGGGACCACACCAATAATGCTCTATCTGCGAGGGTTTCTGGTTTCCGTAAAGCTTCTGGTTGTAAATCGGGGCACACCGCTTGGTAGTCTCTCCCCACGCGTATTTTATCTGCAGGTACTATAAACGATATATTAAACAAATAAAAAAAAATGTCGAAATTGGATAAGTTTGGTAGGGGAATCTTATGATGAAAGGTTTTGAAGGTTTTGAAAAAAATAAATTAAATAAAATAGGGTTAGTTCGGCCGGAAACGGGACTTACCTGAAGTTTCCTCGTCGCTTGTAGAATCCGCTTGGACGTTCCCGTTTGGACTCGGACCCCGACTTCTACGGCCGTTCCGCGCATTTTCGTTGTTCTTCTCCGCCAACACCATCGCTAAAGCGCCCCAATATTTCCAAAAAAATCCAATCAAATATCTTCGCGCGACCAAAAACTGACCACAAAATGATCTGTTCACTTCAAACTACTGCATTCGCGTTTCTCGTATCGGGGCACCGTAGTTTCTCATTTAATTACAAAAACTGCCGCTAGGAGATAAACGATTCTCTTATTCTTTTTTTCACCTAACCTTAAATAAAAAGTGACATAACCTCATTTTTTTTTGTGGAATATCAAATTATTTTTTTGAGATGTCCTTTACTAATTTAATTATTAAAAGGGGAATTACAACGACGGCCGTTCGAGAAGGAAAAAGAAACTTCAAAAAATTTTCGTTGTATAATAAACGTGGTACTAGAATTTTTAAAAAGCAACAAAGTCAAAATCCGGATCCTGATGTTCCTATTCAAAGTAATTTTTATGTTTAAGTGATTAATTAATTAATAACACACTCATTTTTAGAACGTGGGGTAAGAGATGTTGGTTACACGTTAGATGGAAAATTTATAACAGTCCCAGAAATGATTCCTGAGCTAATTGTACCAGATTTAAAAGGCTTTAATGTATATGTTATATCTCGATTTACTTTTTTTTTTATTACAAAATCGTTTTAATTTTTAGCTTAAACCTTATGTATCATATAAAGCCCCTGATGTTATTCAATCTGAATTTACAGCTCAAGATTTATTTAATGTAGTTTATGCTGAAAAAATTTCTAAAGACTTTCAAGAAAATAAATTAACTGAAAAAGGGGATTCTCAAGAACCTTCTAATGAAGAAAAAATGACCAGTGAAGAAGCCCGGATAAAATCTAGGCAAACTGGGTCTGATATTTTTTAAGATAATAAAATTAATGAATGTATTGTATTGTTGATTTAAGAAAAAATATAATAAAATAGAAAGTTTAGATTAAAAAAATAAAAATACAAAGTTCTTATTTGAAGGTTATAACCATATATATACTATCTCCTATATCGCTGACTAAGGCAGCAAAAGAGTGTAAACATTAGAGTGCAGATATATATATATCTGCGTCTGTCGTGCCCCCGTCTACACAAGGGACATGCGTGAACACGTGGTGAGTACGCTTTTATCTTATTGGANTAAACCTTATGTATCATATAAAGCCCCTGATGTTATTCAATCTGAATTTACAGCTCAAGATTTATTTAATGTAGTTTATGCCGAAAAGATTTCTAAAGACTTTCAGGAAAATAAATTAACTGAAAAAGGGGATTCTCAAGAACCTTCTAATGAAGAAAAAATGACCAGTGAGGAAGCCCGGATAAAATCTAGGCAAACTGGGTCCGATATTTTTTAAGATAATAAAATTAATGAATGTATTGTATTGTTGATTTAAGAAAAAATATAATAAAATAGAAAGTTTAGATTAAAAAAATAAAAATACAAAGTTCTTATTTGAAGGTTATAACCTTTCAATGCTTAACTCACACTGTTAATATCAATAATTACTTAATAAATTGATTTTAAAAAAAATTTTATTTTAAACACATTCTTAATTTTCCACAAACACCAATTTACCGTTCAATTTTAAAATTAACGTTATAAAATTATAAATTAAAACTAATTTTGAGGTTAGAATTGGTATAAATCAAGCCTGAAATACTACGTTTTTAGGAAATTTCAAAACAATGATAACGTAATAATTCACAATTTGGTCAAAATGTTTAAAGAACCGCTAATACTCTCAAAAAGAATCGCCACAAATAAAATAGTAAGTTCAATTTCTTGTGGAATCTTAAAATAATGTAAAAAAAAGATTTTTAGGTTAAGTCACAAAACCCTAGAAAATAAACCCAATCTAGAAATCCTTCGGGAAAGAATCGCAAATGGTCCTACATTACAAGATTTTATCGTTAACTCCGACCCTGTACTAAAAGAAAACCCTGAGCAATGGAATGAATATGATGGAAAACTTAAACGGGAAAAAGGAGAAAGCCAAAGATTGCGTTTACCACCTTGGCTTAAAAGATCTATTCCTACAGGGAAGAATTATAGTAAATTGAAGGAACAATTAAGGCAATTAAATCTACATACGGTGTGTGAGGAGGCTAGGTGTCCTAATATTGGGGAATGTTGGGGTGGAGGTGAACATGGAACAGCTACTGCTACAATTATGTTGCTTGGGGATACATGTACAAGAGGATGCAGATTTTGTTCAGTTAAAACAGCGAGGAATCCACCCCCACCAGATGCATCAGAACCTATTAATACAGCTCGTGCCATTGCTTCATGGGGATTAGATTATGTGGTGTTAACTTCAGTTGATCGAGATGGTATAAAAAAATATTAAAAAAAAATAACTTTATTAATTTGATTATATTATTAGATTTAGCTGATGGAGGTTCAAATCATTTTGCTGAAACTGTACAGGAAATAAAAAGACAGTATTTTCTTATCATAATCAAAATTGATGTACTTTTAATACATTTTTTGTTTAGGAATAGCAACATTTTCGTCGAATGCTTAGTCCCCGATTTTGCTGGAAACCTAGAAAACGTTAAAACGATTGCTACAAGCGGTTTGGACGTTTACGCCCACAACATCGAAACCGTAGAATCTTTAACACCTTACGTTCGAGATAGACGTGCGAAATATCGCCAATCTCTTTCAACTCTTAACGCAGCGAAATCGTTCACTCCAAAATTAATTACGAAATCGTCGATTATGTTGGGTTTGGGTGAAAAAGATGAGGAGGTGGAGCAAACGTTGATTGATTTGAAAAATAATGGGGTTGATTGTGTGACTTTAGGGCAATATATGCAGCCTACAAAAAGGCATTTAAAAGTTGTTGAATATGTAACACCCGCTAAATATCAACATTGGGAAAAAATTGGGAATGAAATGGGATTTTTGTATGTTGCAAGTGGACCGTTGGTTCGAAGTTCTTATAAAGCTGGCGAATTCTTTATTGCTAGTATTTTAAAAAATCGAAAAACTAGTACTGTAAATTAAAAATGTTAATGTAAAATTGTGATTTGTGGATGTAAATAAATTACAATGTCCTAGTTTAATTGTTCAACCTAAGGAAAAATTTAAGAATTATCATGTGGCTTAAAAATCGAAAAATTACATTAAAGTTTTGATGTGACGTCACGTTTTGTGACGTCACAAGCAATGTTAACCCTAAAATGTCATTAAATTAGGTGAAATACCCTTGTTCTTCTTAGGCTTTCCATGCATAACGACTGAGTACCTGTCCTTAGATACCATTAGATACAGTGTGTTAATTAATTATCGTACCCGACGTCATCATTGCAAGTATGCAACCAATATCACAGTATTCGTATTGCAATACCAGTACTGTGATATAGATTGCATCTTGCAATGATGACGTCGGGTACGATAATTAGTTAACACGCTGTAGACTGTGTTGCAATAGACAATGTGTTAATACTAGAACTAACACTAGACCTAGAACTAGAAACATTCGGGTTTAGCCGCACGTCTCTAAAGACGGCTAATCCCGAATGATTCTAGGTCTAGGTCTTGTGTTAATTCTAGTGATAGTGTTAGTGCAATATTAGAACTAACACTATACTATTTCAAGTTCAAATTGGCACTAATCAAACTCAAAATGGTAAATTAAGAAAAAGGAAGCAGCAAACGTAAAACGTCAAGTTTGTGTTGTTTACAATACGAATTGCGTCTGGCGCAACTTACCTGAAATTCTTAGTGTTACAAAAAGAACAGTTCAGATGGATAACAAATCAAGAAGAAGAAAAACCATGAGAAAGGAAACGTAAAATAAAAATTACAGATGAACATCACCGTTTCTTTAAACTTAAAGTTGAAGAAAATCTGAGGTCGTTCAAAAATAGGAAGTTGTGGCACTTTCATTGCTACTGGTAGCAGGGGAGCAAGTATACATCTTGTCGGATATATCAGTAACTTGGGATTGATTTATCATGAATGAGTTTGTTAGGCAATGCTTAAGGAGAGCTCAAGATAGCTAATGTTAAATGGCTTTAGCGATTGATGCTCCTTGCCATTGTGGTGTTGAACAAATGTTTGAAGAACAAGAGTTTCTTCATCATAAACTTGTAAGGCTAAGTCCTTACAGTCCAATGTTAATGCTGGTTAATTTTGAAAGTACTTGTAAAGGTGGATTTGGCAAATGCGTTAGGAACAATATTCCAAAAATCAATGTAACTAACTGTAACATGTTTATAGCCGGAATTCAAAAGTACATCACCTCTATTTTAAACATGAGGATGTCACCTTACCAAGTATAAAAATGAATGCTAATTTGATTTTGACAGTTGCCAAATTGGTTTTGTTAAATGCCATTTTAAAATGATTTGTGCTAATTTGAACTTGAAAAGGTATAGACCGAAAACTAGAAATATTCGGACTATTTCTAGTTCTAGGTCTAGTGTTTGTTCTAGTTTTAGTGCAATAAAAATAAACTAACTAGCGCTACCTACCACTATCACTAGAACTAACATTAGACCTAGAACTGGAAACATTCGGGTTTAGCCGCACGTCTCTAAAGACGGCTAAACCCGAATGATTCTAGTTCTAGGTCTTGTGTTAGTTCTAGTGATAGTGCTAGTGCAATATTAGAACTAACACTAGACCTAGAACTAGAAACATTCGGATTTAGCAGCACGTCTCTCAAGACGGCCAGTTATTTTCACTAAACTAGATAAGATTACAACGTATATTTTCGGATGAAATACTTTTGTTTTTCTTAGGCTTTTGATGCATAACGACTGACTACCTGTCGTTACATAGACTGTATATCAATAGACTCTGTGTTAATAGATTGTGTGTCAAATGATACAAAAAGCCACAACGACTGAAATGTCTTTATTTACCATTTACTCTCTGAGTAATGCTATGGGAAAGGCGAAAAACGTTATCGTCGAGTTATCCAGGAATTTAATGAAAAATTCCCCAATGTGTATGTATCTGAGACTAAAATAATTTTAAAGTTTTTAAGCACTGGGTCATTGTTGCGAATACCTAGAGAAGAGATACAATGAAAATGATGAGCACTTTGTTGGTATTACATTCAGTAGAGGAACACCCGAAATTATCATTAAAAAGAAGAGCTGAAAATCTCCAATTTGTTAAAAAGTCGCAAATTCAGAAGATATTAAAACACAACAAGATACATCCATACAAGCCAGTTTTTTAATTATGTTTTGGAAGTCGGCGATGAAGCAAAATGTTTGGATTTTTGTTTGTGGGTTGGCAGTATGGAAAGAGGATTTCATAAAAAAATAATATTTCCTGATTAATCAACTTTTGCGACCAATGGTATTGTGGCTTCGCATCATGCAGGATATTGGAGTGACTCTAATCCGAATTTTCGAATACCACGACTCGTCAGTACTGTGTTAAAGTAAATGTGTGGTGCGCCATTTCTTATTACGGAATAATAGGGCCATACTTCTTTGACACTACTTGTAATGCGAATAGTTATTTAGCTATGTTAAGAAATTTCCTCGACGGTGAATTAGACAATCTTCCATTAGAATACAGTTCATTTTATTTTCAACAAAATGGATGCCCAGCACATTATGCGGCAATGGTTAGACCATACGTTTCCAGACCACTGGATTAACATTTTTGATAAAATTAAAAATAAAAAGCTTTTTCCTATTCAACACCTTTTCCGTGGACATACTGTAGATGGTAAACGACATTTTAGTCGAAACTTTAAAGTGATTTTTCGGTAACTTTTACACTTTTCCGCACTTTTTTTAATTTCTAACGGCTTACTTGAGTGATTTTGTAAATAAATTACAATATCCCAATTTAATCCCAAACAAATAAATTCATAATAAATTATTAATGTTTTATTTTTAATATTATTATTTACAATTTTACACATATTCTTAAAATCTAAAGAACATACGACACACATTAATTTTTCAATAATAATAATAATAATACAATAAATATATGGCACATGTAATCATAATATATATATTTATATTTTTTTTTTCAATTTATTCTATATTTTGTATGTATAAAGGCCGGTTAAAAAACTGACCAGAGTTCTTTTTTTTTTTTTGTTAATTTTTAAACTGCCCCTGTAACAATATCATTTCTTCATTAGGCTAAAAACACTGAGGAGTTTTTTGTTTGTAGTTTTTTTAGGTTTTCGATAATCTCATTTTAAAATTTCTTGAATTATCTAGTTTCTTTTGAAGTACACGTAGAAAAATCAATCAATTTTTTATACATTCTTTACGTAATAAATGAAACGACTCGCCACACAATTTTACAGACCTCGAAAGAAATATGACTACCACTATTTACGCACTATATTCTCTTTATTTTTCGATTCCGGAAACTGAACGAGTATCACAGTTTATGTACAAAATTAATTAAAAAAGTAGATTTATGGACAATTTTATTGGACAAACTTTACATTTGTTTCATTCCGTGAAAACGAAGTAGTTAAGAAGATTTTTTATTTGAGCTGTTTCTATTCAAAAAAAAGTTGGAAATAGACGGGTTCTCAAAAATTTATTTATTACATACTCTCCTCACGGTTATTCCTTGAAGATTACGTTTGGTATTGTAACATTGGAGCCGCCAGGTTTGGATGATGAGTTGAATTCATTCTCAATGCCGATAAACTTTTATTGTACCATTCATCTTCTGCACTCATACCTTTAAAAGAAAATTTATGTTTATTTTCATAAAAATTATCTGGTTGAAAGGAAGTAAGGTAATTTCCTTAGGAAACGAGATAAGATCTGGACCGACGATCTCAAGCAAGTTCTATTTCCGTTTCAAGATAGATTTTTGGTCCTAACATCGAGAATCATCTTGGTAAATTGAACGCCTCTAAATCGGATAGAATTACTCACCCATAGCATCTTGTCGCATCCCAGCAACGGTGCTCATATTCGTACTATGGGACATCGAAAAAGATTGTGCCATCGTTGGATAAGAACTGGTACTCATCTATAACAAAAAGAATTGTGTTGAAAACCGATTTGATTTTTTAAAATTAAAGTTAAGGAGTTAAACGTGACCTTGCAGGTGACTGTGGGAGGAGATTATAGTTGGGTGCAGGTAAATGGATTAGGCGAGGTCAAACAGCTCTGGTGATTAGTTTAGAGAAGACCGCACTTCCTCCTCCTCCAGCGACCGAGTCAGAGGCGTTCGTGTGGCCGCTCCTGCCCCGCCGAATAATATGCAAATGATCGAGTGCAATTAATTCGCGGCTGCCACCGCTTTCCATATCCGTCCACTCCGGAAATTGACGATGTTCCCGGACCGTGATTTTCCAACAACCGAAAACCCACGTTTACAAACTACAACTGTACTTTTCAATTTTACTTTTTTATTTCCAACAAGGGTTACAATAAAAAATTGTGTGCTTTTAAAATTACTGTATTTTACCTATACCAAAGTAATATTTGAGCTAATTAAAAAAATATGTTAAATAAAGCTCTTTTATGATATTCATTGTGCATCATTATTTTCAATGGATGATGCTTATGTAGGCTATGTTGTGATCATAGCTCCAAAATGGATCTTATCATGAGGGATATACACTAAATTTTGATTTTGACCATTTTGTAAGATCTTTTTATACATTAGGCAGAGATTTCTTTATGTGTTATGATAAGTTTTTATTATGATTTTTTTCTGTTTTAAAGCTATCGCATTGGATTAGAAATTTAGACATTTTTCGGAAAAATTTTAGAGGAGAATGGGAAAACTGGTGTTAATATAACAATAACCATGTTAGCCAACCAGTCTTCCTAAAGATAGAACCTAGAAGCAGTATTTCTAAATTTTATTGCCTCCAGCACAGAGCAAAGATTCGGAGTATTTAAGAAGTACAAATATCATTCAGACAAACCCAATGTAATGAACTAGAAGATGAACTCCTTGACAGAAATTAATCTTTCAGAAGTCAAGCTTACTCTTGCAAAATTTTAATACTCAAATATAAAGTTTAGTAACCATATAGGAACAACTCTTACGCAAAAATACCATGACAGAAGAGTCGTAGGAGATTTATTACAAGTTCTGCAAATTCTAGAACTGAAGCTCATTTAATGTGTCAAATAAACGATTGTATAATTCTAGAACTTGGAGAACTTTGCACTTATTCACAAAAGTTTTAACGATAGCTAAAATTGAGCTCCTTGCATCTTATAAAAGTTGGCCAAACCTAAATAAATAATGTTTCGTGAAATATCATCTTCTCATTTCTATGGGTTCTATTATATTAATGTTATTTCTAAAACAGATATTCGTTAAGAACCTCGACGGCAAGTTCAGAATCAATAAACTTCAAACAATGACGTTATTCGCAGATTTTACATGATTCTGCAGGCAGGGATCTTATCCCGGACTAATTCCGTATCTGTCTAAACACCAATTGCAGCCGAAGAATGAAATTTGTCTCTAAAACTTATTTGTCTTCACGTTCGTTAGTCGCTCGATGATGTTTGCTTCTAGGACGACGAGGTTGGTTATTTTTTTTAGACCACGCAGATCATGTTCGAAGCACTGTTGAAAGATTTCTTGAAAGAACTTCACTCACCAAATGGCATTTACTTTGTGATACAGTTTTTAATTTTCCTGGTATAGATTCTCTGTTTCACAGCAAAAGCCATATAATTACTTGCAATTCTTTGTGTATCGATATGATGTTTTTATCACCAACTTTTTACTTCTTATCCAATTGTTTTGTTAAGATTCCAGCTTGGTGACTCATCTTTTTCGAGGTGTTGATATGTTTTTGGCACGTAGTGTATATAAATTGGTTGCACAGAAAAATACTGATTTGAGAAATAGTATAAGCATGGAAGAACATCTTATTGTAACACTTAGATTCTTAGTAACTGGTGAATCTTATCTTAGTCCTTTGTTCTTAGCTAAATCCATTGATTTTCTTCCTTACATCTGTTCCTGTACAACTTTTAACAGAATCACTACTATAAACTATCAGTAATCAAGTGATTTAAACATTTCATACTCGGAAATTAATAATTTAGTGGCAGCAAACTTGTCAGACGTCATTTTGGTTTCAAATATTATATGTTTTGCCGGCGAGAACATATATTATGGTCATAGACATATGAACATATTTGAACTATTACAGCATTTGGTACAATTACACTGTAATATTTTTCATCAAATATATACAGAGTTGTTAAATACCAGGTATTTATAAAATTTAATTTAAATTGACTTGATGGCAGTTTTGCAAGCACTTCAGGAATGCAGAGTCGATTATCGATATACCAAACTTATTTATAACATCTACAAGAATGCTACAATGACGGTAAAATTGTATGAAAGTACTGAAGAGAGTAGAAGTAGTAAAGTACTGATTGTGAGTAAAACAAGGCAATACACTGTTGAACCGAAATTGTTCATCACAGTCCTCAAGTAATTTGCGCTACGTGGACGATATAGTTCTTATGTTGGATAGCTTTGGATAGATTAAACTAATGCTGAACGACTCAAAATTTATGATAAATATGATTGGGGATAATGAGATTGAGAGGGTTGACAGCTATGTATATCTTGGCTATGAAGTTCAGATAATCAAACAAGCGAACTAAACAGAAAGACCACACTCATATGGGCAGCCTATAAACATCTTCAAGAGGAAAATCCAAGAACGGGCTTTCATTCAATGCATGTTTCTGGTTATGACATAAGGCTCCGAAACTTTAACATTAACGGTAACCACTGCCAGGAGGGTCCAAGTAACACAAAGATAGATGGAGAGGTCGATCCGGGGTCTAACTCTGAGGGACTACATACGAAATGAACACCTATGAAGAAGAACTGGCGTAAATGATGTGGTCAACATTGTGGCAAAGCGTAAGTGGCGAACAGACGAAGTAGACGTCAAAAGAATGACCAACAATTGGATTCAAGCGGCACAGAATAGAATTGAATGGAACACAATACACGCAGAGGGCGCTTGATGATAATAATCATAATAACTTGATCTAATCTCAATTACGACAGATTGGTCTTATGATAATACGTCTTTGATTGTTGACAATTCCTTGTCTTCAACGTCCTCATCATCTTCCCCTTCATTTATTACTGGTATCACTTTTATACCCACTGTTTGGGTATTTACCCTGGGCCGGAATAATAATATAAGAAATAATATATTATAGGAAGAAAAATGATGAGTTTGAATCAAAAGCTTCATCTACAGTGCACTTTTTAACTTGCCTCTGACGCACTGCATAACCCAGAAAGTTTCTACCACCGATATTAAAAGCCTACGAATTAATACGGACTTGTTTTTGATGCAAGTTGCAGGTAATTTTTGATGTTCACCCAGAAAACAAATATTTAAGGTTTAAATAAGGAGAAAGCCGATAGGATACTTGACAAAGAAGTCCAGAACATCGATTTCATTCTTTCAACTAAAATGACTTACCTAGTTGAATTTTGTCCAAAATTTCTTTCTGTTTAAATTTGATATCAAATATAAAAAGGTTACGATCAATAACAACCTAAGTGTAATTAATACATTAACTAAATTGTATTAAAAAAAATATTTCTACTGTTCTTCTGAGTTGAGTATTTGTTAAATCGTTTTCTTCTTCTTCTTAAATGGGATTTTGAACAAAATTCAATTAATTACGACAAAGAAGTTTGAAGTAACTTGGAGAAATGGGTGCTAAACCTTGCGATAGCATTGTTAATTAACGAGAGTCTCACAGGTAAGTATTTTTGTAAATAATATCTGCATTTCCAGTAATCATATCTTCAAAGTACCTCTTGAAGGTAGACATGGACTTGATGCATTGTGTCAAAATGTTGTTGATTTAAAACCATATGTTCTTGAGGACAAAGAATGGATACTGCTAGAAGTAGTGCATAAATTACTAGTCAACTTTCAAATACTTTCCAAGAAACTCGGAGGGGGGAAGTACGTCAAATTACCTATGGTGGTTGTATGTATCAATATACTAATAGATAATATTGAGAGCAAAATATTTGCATGGGACTGAAAGGCAGATGGAAACACTGTTGAAGAGCAGCTTATTGTTAGTTTTCAGGCTGCGAGAGACAAAATATTAAAGCATTATCGTAAAACTAATTAGATTTATGCTGCAGTTTTAATTCTCGATTCGCGGCATAACATAGAAGTTTTTGATAGAGACTTCGATTCAGAAATTTAAAGATGTTTTCAAAGCCTATTTCCATCAATCAGAAGGACAACGTTCGAAAGTAACGGCATTAGAGCAATGAGAAGATTCTAGAGCGGAAAAGATAAATTGATTTTGATGTTTTGTATGACGTAAATCCTACGCTTTCCCAAGGAAAATGGATGCAGGAGCTTCAAAAATATTATTCTATGCCTCGGTGTAATAAAGGCAGAGATACAATGGTGGAAAATTCATGCTTCTGAATTTCCTCTTTCAAGTTTAATGGCACGACATCTCTTAAGCATACCGGCTACTTCAGTTTCGGCGGAAAGATTATTCTCTCACGTGCTGCATTAACTACAACAAAACATCGAAATCGCCTTAGTATTAAATCTGTATGATGTTTGTTATGCCTAAATGATTGGGTGAAAAACAAAATCATTTGCGACCGACAGGGCTGAATTTTCTCTTCCAACTCTTACATTATAGCAAGTATTTAAGTATTGCTTATTGCACTGAAACAATAAGATTATGCATGATGAGATTTCGATACTTTTATGAGACTCTCGTACGAGAAACGAGATGAGACGAGACTTGATACAAGACTTATTAGTTCAGCGGCGAGACGAGACAAGACTTTATGAAAATATCGTCTCCTTGGTCTCTATTGTTTATTGTGATTATATTCCTAAACCAATTGATAAAGAAAAGGTTAGATGAGGAAGTTCTGCCAAATCAAGTGTACAGGAGCAAATAATTGCATTGTATGAGCTGATTAGAAATGATCAAAACACAACATAACGATAACTTTAAGTCAACATAATAAGTAGTATTCAAATTGGATAATTATATAGTTTTCATTGAAGCACAACTAGAACTAACAAGTTTCGGGTTTAGCCGTACATCTTCAGACGCAGAGAGTTCTACTTTTAGTTGTTATTAGAGTTAGTTTTATTGTATTAAGCTTTTTTAAGATAACTTTTGCCACAAAAGAGAACAAAAGGTAACAATTTGCAAAAAGGAGAGTAACCGTAGGGGTCTTTTCCCGGGGTCAGGGGGTCGCCTACCCCTCCAACAAATTTCCATGCATAAATTCGTCCACGTCCCGTGACCGACCGACCGCTTGGCAGCGCGTTAATATTCCCCGGGAAAGGGGGAATTGCGGGGGGAATACGGGGAAACTCACTAACCTGCGGATAGCGGTTGATGGCCGTCGGATGTGGATACGGCTGGTACCCGCGCGCCGCCCCCGGGTAAATGTTCCTCATCATGGCCCCATTGCAACCCGGCAACACCGACGGCGCCAACGCTTTCTGTAACTGCTTCTCTTGTTTTCGATATTTCGCTCTTCTATTTTGAAACCAAACCTAAAAAGAGAAAAAAATTCATTAAATTTTTATCAAACAAAAAGATTTCGTTTCGGATTATCGAAAATCTTCTTTTTTTCTTGCCGAAAAACAAAAGCTCATCCTTCTACGAGCTTTTATTCGAACCCCACACAAGCTTCATCCACGTACCGTCTTCTTCTCTTCAATCCCTCTTACCTCCCCCTTTATCCTTTAGGCGGGGGTGAATAGGAGGGTTTTGCACCCCCAAGACGCACGGCCACCCTCGTGACGGGGCGCCGCCTCGCAGGGGCACGTCCCGAGCCACCCTCGATCCCATCAAATGGATCCGTAACGAAGTTATCCCCGCCCCCGGGCCGCCATGGCACCACCGCGCGACTTCGTCTTCCGCGCGCAATAGGGGTGGTTGAGCGGGGGCGGTTTCGCCGCCGAAAACACGCAACGCGAACCGAGAAGAAGTTCGGGATCCCTTTAAAACCCGTCTAATGCATAAAGGTCGTTGTTCGCTTTTGTTTTGGATAAAGGGGAAAGAATGCGACAAGAAATAGGGGGGAAATGAAGGGATGAGTTTTTCAATATCTATTGCAAATAACGATTTTCAATAACTCATTTCACGATTTATTGTTATAATTATTAGAAATTCATTAAATAAAATTTGGATAAATGGTGGAGGCGCCGGTTATTTTCTTTCTTAACTTTAATTGATGATAAAATGTCTTTATAGAATTGATCGCCACAAGAAAAGTGACTCGTAAAAGTAACAAAATAAAATATATAACGAAATTTCAAGCGTGGACATGTTATACCAGGAAATCACGTTACGGTTTCGGTTTGATTGAATCAAAAAAGGATATATTCGATCAAAAAAGTCGCCGGTCAAAAATGTAATTCATATCAAAACACGAATTACTCGGGGTATTTTATGATTAAAAAGGAAGTAAATAAATAGTAGCGGGATCGTTCCTAATTCAGAGGAAAGCGCTTAACGAGAATTTCGACGATTAAATTATTAAATATTTACGCGGCACGAGAGAGAGAGAATTTCGCATTTCCGCCCTACGAACCTTGGAAAATAAAACGACCCCGAGTTTAAAATTCATGCGACTCCGTTCGGTTTCGTGGAATTTTGACTCGACCAGGATTTCATATAAAATTTATATTATCCCTTTTAACTGAAAAGGGATTTAAATGCGTATTTATTAAAAATAAGCCTAATAAAGTTAATTTTTTTAAAAATTGTTTTGCCAAAAAGAGAAACATTTTTTTGTCTAAAAAGAAAAGAAACGCGACTCTCTTCGTAGTTGGAAGTTTCGAGTGGAAGGACGGATCTTTGATTGAATTAGGCGTTCGTTAGGCCCGAACCCTCCGGGGGGCCCCAGAGACGCAACTGGCTCCCCTTTTCAGAATCTCGTGTGACTCACGCATTACTCTCCTATCTCATGGCAATCAACTTCTCTGTAACCCTGGCGATTCGTGTTCAAAAAAATTATCCCCATACCTTTAGATTCGTTTGAATCCCCAAAAATATGTGATACTAACCTGTATTCTAGCTTCATTTAATTTCGTACTCCTTGCTAATTCTTCTCGACAATAAATATCGGGATAGTGACTTTTTGCAAAAGCAGCTTCTAATTCTGCGAGTTGTTCTTGTGTAAATGTGGTGCGATGTCTTCTTCTTGCAGGCGTTGGACAAGAGGCTGTTGTTGGAGTATGCCCGGCGTGTTGTGGACCTCCGGGAGAAACGGTACCTAAACTACCACTTCCGGTCGACGTTGGTTCAGGTTTGAGTTTCTTAAAAGCGCCGTCTGCAAATAAATGGGAATCGAGGAAATTCGAAGAACAAAGCGTGAAAATCAGTTTTGCATAAACAAACAAACCTGGTCGGCGTTCGGCGCCGCGACGGCAACTAAACCTTATTGAATTCATTACTGTTTATTAATGCAGTTACTGCGAACCTAATTACAATTACTGGCGCTTCCAGGCATCAACCCCACAAAGAATAACCAGCATGCAAAAACCACAAATTTAAAAATTATCAATTAATTGAATTTAAAAAGTTGATTTTATATCGAATTGTTTCAATTATCTATTGACCAAACGGCGTTGAAAGTTCGACTTGAGGGAGGGCAAAAACTCTCTAAAAGTACTAATTCGTTTTCGAACATGTGCGTACTTAACGCGGGAAGCTGCGAGTACAATATGTCAAATTGAGTGTTAACCAGGGCATTGTGCTAGGTCTCGCACTCCGAACCTGTCCGTTATTATCTCGGGGAACGCGTGCATATGTTGGGGCTTGGTGCTTCGACGGCGTCGGAAAGGGGACAAATTGACACTTCATTATTGGCGCTCTGGGCACTCGTTTAGGTACACAGATGTGTACCCAAGAGTATGTAATTACAATACAAAACCAGAAAATGATTTGGAATGAGATACAATTTGAAATAGTTTAGAAAATTAATTTATTTATTTATGGTAATAATTAGCATAACTTAAAATTGTGATGTTTAAGTAGTAAGGGCAAAAATGTATCATAAAACATCTTGTCAAATCATGTTGTACATAATGTTTAGACTAAACTTGATCTGCAGATTCAAAGTTTTGTGTCTGATCAGAATTTAATCCTGCTTGGAAATTGTTTTGTCTTCACTTAAAAAAGAAGGTTAAAGCAAGGTTTGAGGAAATTCTTCTTTGATTGATTCATTTTGGTTAATTCTTCAACACCTTATCATTGCCGCAATAATTTTTGAAATAGATTCTAAATTTAACAATCAAGTTTAAAATCAAATTTGATCTAACTAATAATGTCAGAAAAACTTGTATCAAAATATATGCAAGTTAGGTACTTCTTTAGCAAATTGACACTTATCTTATGAGTTAATGAATGGATTCGGAACAAGATGATCAATTGGGAAAAGTAAAAGTTATCAAAATCGAATATTGATTAGACTATACAGCTAAGTGATACCTTAGGTTTGATAACATCAAGATCTATTTGAGTTATGATTAAGTCAAAAAAATGGATAAAAAAGTAATTTTTACCTGTATGATCAGTAATAGTTCTAGGAGCAGCTGGTGGAGTATGTGCAGGAGTATGTGAATGATGATCATGAGAATGAGGTAATCCACCATAAATAGCAGTAAAATCTTCTGCGGAAGATCCACTAGTATTGCACTTTCTAGGTGTTCCCTTATCCCCATTAGACCCCCCACCCATAAGATGTCCATGATGGTCATCAAGTAACCCCGAGACTCCGAGAAGATTTCCGACGCCGACCAAGTTCGGCCTTAAATCTTCCATCATGGATTTTTGTGGACAGGCGTTAAAATTAAGTTGCCTGCTGAAGATGGCCGGAAAAATGTTGAACTGCTGATGGGAAACCTCGTCGCCTGAAGCGCCGCCGGAGGTGGGCACTGAGGGGGCTGCGGCCCCCAGACAGGAGGGGACACCCTTAAAATCCAACTTGAAGCCGTTGGATCACTTGAATTTCTATGTAGTGATCTGTTCCGACGGTTTCGGTTTAGCTACACTCGCGACGTTTTCGCGATGATTAGTCTTTTCGTAAGCGGATATCGAACAATCGAACGATGATCGCCACCGTCGCGGTCCCGCGCTACGATGTCGTTAATGCCTGTGACTGATTCAATTAAATTTTGGGGAGCACATTTAACTGCTATCCCGATATGATGACTAGCTTATGCCTAAGCCAAACGGCAAGTGAGTATAACAATATTATAACCTGATAGCGTTGTTCTGTTATCTGGTCGGGCCCCACTCTATATCCACGAGAAAGAAAGAGATAACATCAACCCCCCAAGTCCACCAATGGGGTTGAAACAACCCTCCAACATTCGCGTACGATTGGCGCAAGTTAATAGGAGGGTACCATGGAAACCCCAATAGTGGTTGTCAAAGAGGTAAAATGGTGGCGAAGCCCGAGGCTGTGCTTTCCGTTAAGTTCGATTTTTATGTTTTGACGTTGGCTGTCCTGAGCGGGACGATTTACTGTTCCTTTTTCGCGTTAAAGTGTTGTGCTCGGCCGTGTACGCCGCTTGTTTATACCCTATATATATATAGAGAGAGAGTATAGGAGGGCCGCTCCATCTCGACGACTTAATGAGTTCCCCTTTTTGTTCGGGGAGAATTTCTTTCTTTTTTGGGGGATTAAATCGAACGCGCCCACCCGAAATGGGGCGAAAATACGATAGTACGGTGCAAAATAACTTTGCAAATTATTTCTTAGTATCTTGGGATGAATTTTTTGAATACCCATTTAAACTTCTATCATACACAAGACTTTTTATATTAAAAAGAAAAATTTTATTTTTCTATATACGTAAAATTTTTTTGTCTTATTAAATTTGAAAGTAATTCCCGTAACAAAACATTAATAAGTGAGTAAGACTTCCTGAAGGATAAATGGAACTGGTAAAAATGATAATCTCATCTGAGGCGTTTTTTAATTATTAAGCCCCTGGGTCACCTCATCTTTTATTTAGCCCTCCACCACCGTACGAAAAACGTTTTCAAGAAGAAGAAGAAGGAAAGAGAGAACGCCACTGTCGGAAATTTCCCGGAAACTTGCTGCCGTCGATTCCAAGCACCGGAGTTTTCCTGGCGTGACGTTCGCCGCTTGTTTTGCCGAAGGTCCTCTCTTCGGTCCATTTCTAACTTCCAATAAGAACCCCCCTTTAACCACCCAGCCCCCTTTTACCGGAACTTTTCCAGGGCGGATAAAATCGAAGGGGATAGCCTCCGGTCGACGAGGACTAAATTTGCAAAAGAAAAAAAAAATTATACGAGTAAAGAAGTATTTAAGAGACTTTATAAAAGAGTGACATTTGGAAGATTTGACATCAGGTCTCGGCAGGACTTTTTGAGCACACTCCGGGATGTCGGACTCTTCAAAGAGTGACAGATTGCTCATGAATTTTCCACAGCGATAGACGGAATAATGACGGGTGGAGCGCGTTCGTCACAATGGGGGGCGCCGGCGCGGCCATCTGATCTGAATTCAACATCAAAAAACCGAAACGGAATTTATTACCATTCGTTATCGATGTCGCGACGTACAAATACTACATCAAAAGCACGTTAAAATTGATATATCCTTATATTCAACATTAGCAATTTTCATTTTAAAATTACATAATCTTTAAAAGTCATTTAGTACATTTTGTGTTCAGATTGGAGCTTCTTATAAAGTATTGTCTTGACAATCCCTCCTACTACGTAAACCCTCCGCCCAAGGGAATTTTCGCCCCCCTCCCGTAGGGCTACCGCCACGTCGGTCGCCAATTTACATTGCAAAACTCATAAACGCGAAATCCACACCAGCAACGTTGTCGGAGAAAGCGGACAACATCTTTCCAAGACTAGAATTTACCCGGAAAAACACATCCATCTTTTCGCCTCCGGAGTTTCTTCTCTTCCCCTAAATCCTAAATCCTAAATAGTAAGTAGAAGCACAGAAGAAGCAATCATTCTTGCGCTTCGAGCTGTCATCTCGTCCCCGCCAATCACCAAGCGAGAATTCGCTTGGCCCCAGGCTGTTCACTGCGATCTTTCGAGGGTGGTGAGATGACGACACGACGTTCATGGGGGGGCGAAGGAGGAGTTGGGCGGAGAGTTTTAGCAGGGAGGCTTTGTTATAGCGATAGCGGAACGGTGCGTTTTGGTTTTTTAATCTCATTTCCTCGGACGTTTCTGAACAAAACTCAAACAAAACTCTTTCTTTTTGATTAGAAATGGAGGAAATTTTTCAGACAAAACTTTTTCCACATTTTTAATAGCTTGTACAGCATTCTATGTATTATAAGATTAACTTTACTTTTATCAAATTTTTATCATTGATTCAATTTTAAATCAATTTCAAAAAACAGAATCAATACTAATAAGTTAAGTTCATTTTTGTCATTTGGATGATTGTTTCTTGAGTCTATATGAGTCTTTCTATTGAGAATATATATCGTCATCATTGCAAGTATGCAACCAACATCACAGTGCAATACGCATCATATGTAAATCGCGTATTGCAATAAAAATATTGTTATATTGGTTGCATACTTGAAGATGACGTCGGGTATATTAATTAATTAACACACTGTATATATAATAATATATATACTTTATTATGTGTAATAGATCGGTTATAATTAGTTTCCTCTGATTAACATCTCATGTATCATTGGACCATTTTTGTCGCACATAAAGCCTTGTAGTCCTGTTAAGCTCAATCGTTCTCACCGGGCAACCTAACCATGTTACTTATATATATTTCTTTTGAGCACATCATCACAGAAGACGTTCCATGACATTTCCTTAGTTTATGGTCCTTTTAGGTTGCAGCAGTTGCAGAAATAGTTGAGCAGAATTGATGGCATGATGGTTATTTCTTCCATATAACCCAGAATTAGATATTCTTTTATGAACATCCAAACCTTAGAATATAAAGGGTAAGAAGTTTGCAGAATTGCCCAAATCTCACTCAAATTGAATTTTTTAAATGCGCCCAATTCTTTTCTTTTATTTTCTTTTTAATTTAAAAACCACTTGTCCATCCACTCGAAATCTATTATCAAGGCAATTGGGTCCAATAAAGGTAAAGCGAGTTCAGTTCGACAATGGGATGCGTATAAACAAAAGGACTCCAGGGTACGTCAATAGAGGAACCGCACGCCGCGACCGGACAGATTGTGTCGGGTTCGAAGCGGGTGGAAGGGAAATAATGTGAACACGGCAAGTATACTGTTGGAGATAACCTACGCAGACACACAACACACACGAATACACCTTTAAAGCTTTCCAACGTTACGGAAACAGGAGCGAGTTTCGTTCGCGAATTGCTCTCCGCACTTAAAACGGAGAGAACATAATTTGATACGCCAGTGGGGTTGTTCTATCTGTATTATGAAATATAAATTTAATGAAAATTATTTAAATCGATAGTTTAGAAAAGAAGAATTGTGATAAAAAGTGACTTAAAAAGAAAAATATGAGCTCTTCGTGTATCTCTAGACAAAAAGAAAAGAAGTTAAAAAAAAGTACACTGAAAGAACAGGTAGAAGTCGTCGTTCCGGATCCGTACGCAAAGCCGCGGAGCTTTTTAAAAGCTCAAAGCGGGTAGGCGGTACACTTAGCGGGCCGAAAAAGCGCCGTACCGCACGTGTGTATACGGGAAAACAGTGAGAACGGGGAGACCAGGGCCGGAGCGGGGCGGCCGCATTAGGGCGAGCTTTTTCCTCGGGCTTTTTAAAAATGTATAAAGGATGAAGCGAGTGCTTTATAAAACTTAAAAGCTTTAAGCACGGTGGCCAATTACTGACGTAAAAGGCCTTGCATACATGATGTGTTCGCTCTTTACGGTGGACCCAACCCAGTACGACCCTGCATCCGCTCATATAAGAGTATTTCTTTTTGTAGATAAAAAAATGTTTAGTTTTAATAAAAAGTACTTTCTAGCTGTGAGGTTAGTGTACTCCATATTTTTTTTTTATTAATAATTAGAATATAAATAATATAAATTAATTTTAACATATTACTTTTCATAAACTAATTTGTTTAACAGTAAGTTTAGTTCAGAGATATGTGTAAAGACATTTCTAGCAGCAAAGTGAAATTAATTTAAATGTTTATTTGACTCTGTATTTGAGAACGAATACAACCTAAGGAGTTAGAAGGAATAAATATTCGAAAACGACCATATTTGATACGATAAGTAACATTGCTGATAATTTAAGAATTTAAGATGTAAGGTCAATTTATTAAAAAGAGTTAACCAATCTGGTGATACCTGACGGTACCACATTGCTCTCATGCATTTTTGTTTTCAGATGGATAGATATTGAAAAAAATGCAAGAATATGAAAATTTGACGAATTTCGTTGTTTTATTAATGATTAATAGTAACACTCGGGAATGGGACCATGTTACATAAAAACTTTTAGAATAATAGTTGTAGCAAATTTTATTCTTAACAATATTGCTCTCTTGCACTTTTGCTTTCAGATGCATAGATATCGAGAAAAACACGAAAATATGCTAATTTGATGAATTTCGTTGTTTTACTAGATGTTATGTCAACACTTGGGAATTGGACCATATTACAAAAAAATCTTTAGAACAATAGTAGTAGCAAATTTTATTCTTAACAATATTGCTCTCTTGCACTTTTGCTCTGAGATGCATAGATATCGAGAAAAACATGAAAATATGCAAATTTGATGAAATTCGTTGCTTTACTAGATGTTATGGTAACATTTGGGAATTGAACCAGGTTACACAAAAACTCTTAAAACAAAAGTGGCCGCAAATTTTATTCTTAACAATATTTGCTCTCTTGCATTTTTGTTTTCACATGGATAGATATTGAAAAAAATGTAAGAATAGGAAAATTTGACGGATTTCGTTGTTTTACTAGTGATTAATAGTAACACTCGGGAATGGGACCATGTTACATAAAAACTTTTAGAAT